TAATAGAAAAAGAAATATTAGCAAATTTGGCTGAATTATAAAATGCAGTAGCTTCAGGACAGCTATTTGATGGACTAAAGACTGAAAGAAAATGACTATTAATTTCAAAAGGTTCTTTTAGCTGTAGAGGTATATCTGTATTATGTTTTCTTTTGATATTGAGGCGATTGACTGCTTCCCAGAGATCCCTATAGTTACGACAGTTTATTCGACAAATTCGACTATCCCCATTGGGATATCGGAAACGGTGAGAGATACGGAAGTTGGTTAAGCGAGGGCAAAGTTGCGCATTTTAGTACCTAAAGAAACGACACAGAAAGTTTGGCAATTTCGAGTACTTCCGGAGATCGACGAAATAGATCGAATTTTCCCAAAATAGTCGTTTTTTCCTGTCTTTACTTGAGAAGGGATTTCAAAATTAAAAGTACAATAACTTTGCCACTTTTTTTGCTCTACAGTATGATTTAGTTAATATTTTTCAATTAATTAAGGGCAATCTAATGCTAAAACTTTTTTTATTATTTAAGGGTAGTATTGAGAAAATTGAAAACATCATTTTTGCGAAAGTGAATGAAAATCTCAAGGATGTTGCAGCTTCCTAAGCAAGTTTAATAACCGCCAGATCTAAGCCGATGGACGCATCTTACATTCAAATTACATTCGGTTGAGGTGCCATGTAGAGTGCGTCCATCCTGCTAAAATAAAGCTTATTATAGTCAATAAATGAGCAAATTTTATCTGAATCTCCTTTAACACGCTTCACAAAAACTGAAGGTTGGTGATCCAATCGGATAAACTGTCGTTTTCAGAGACAACTTAGGAAATATTATTTTTTTTTAAATAACTTATATCAATGAACGACGTATTATACAGTTTTTGAAACATAAAAGCTTCATTTCCCTGGGCAAAAATCCAATTCGGCGTCTATTAGAAAAATAAAGCTGATGTTTAAGGACAAAAGACGAAACGTCAAATTGAGATACTAATTAAGCCACATTGTAGAAAAGAAAAAGTGGCTGCAAGCCTCTTCTTTGGACAGGACGAGGCCAGTTCTTCTGGTGCGGAAGCAGATTGGTTTAGATGTTGTCTAGTCTGATGAAAACTTCTGCTTCAGAATGCGGCCCACTTTCTGCCAACTTCCTGTTGCATCGACAGGATGGGCTTTCTTGGTCTGCAGCTTTGTAGCTTTGTGCCATCCATCATGCCTGGGACCCTCTGTGGACGTTTGGGGGCATCTACTGTGATAGTTTTGTAGGCCTTTGACGGAAGTGAACTACCGACCAGAAGGACACTGTTTTACACCGCGGCTGCAATGAGGATCCTAACGAAATTTTATTAATCCGATTTTTGAACTGCCTAAGGTTAGTAGAACTTGGAAGAGCCTCCTCTTTTATATTATTCCACAAACTCGATACTCTAGGGACATACAATCGGCCTGTTCTGGAAGTTCGCTACGATTGGGATGGGAGGCCGAAGTCAGGAGGTCTGAGCTCTGAGGAGAAAAGCCCGTTGGTGTCGAGATAGAAGAGAGCTAGATGGCCCGCCGGTGCGGAAGGATCTCGAGACTGTCTGTTAGGGAAGAGTCATCGATCAGTGGGACAGCCCTTCTCTGGACAGCATCGAGCGCAAATGATGTAGTCGGGACGGCAGCATCCAAAGCATATGAGCAATAACTGCACGACCTGCTGCATCGGTCTTGTTTGAGCCCAACCACATCTCATTATGGCAAGGTATTCAAGAGGGTCATCCCAGTTATGGTCCGAGGGAGAGCGATAAGGCAGGAAATAAATTTGGAGGATGTTTTGGAGTTAAGGCGATTCGGGTCTGATTCCAAAGAATCGTCTCTGGAGCAGGAAATACTGCTGCGGACAAAAGCCAAAACTTACTTTTTCTCAGATTGGAGTGCGCCTCGTAATTTGGGAAGCTCAGGTGATTAATCGATGCCGCCAAGAAACTAATGGCGGGGCGACGAGCGACTTGTTGGTCGACCGGCCTGGTCTGTTCCGGTTCCATGTGGTTGGAGTAACGAACCCCTAGAATGGGGGTCATCTGGGAGGGATTCATCCCATGATGGAGTTGGCTGTCCATACCTACAGAAAGCATTAACGCCATGGAAAAGGTATACGACCTGCAGGGTAATGAAAATGGGGAGAGAATGGGGCAAGTTATTGTACTCATCCAGGGGTTCCAAAGTCTAAAGAAGGATAAAGTGTAGGAGGGGGAGGGGTAAGGAGTTATAACTCTTTCAGCATGAAGAAAATGATCCAAGCATCATCACCTCGAGCAAAATGTGGAAGTTGCTCCTAAGGAAGCGAGGAGTTGAGGGATCCAACTGATCTACTAGGAGTAGATGCTAGGGGTCTTCTAGTCCTGAGAGTTGGGGGGTTGAAAATCGGATTTCGGAAAAACTACCGCCGGAAGGTCGTGGAGCCTTAAGGAACCACAATTGATACAAAATTAATGATTTGAAGGAAAACTGAGGGAGTTGAGGTATGAAAAAATAAAATTAGTTTTGAAGTTGTATGAGTTTGGTTTGTCGGAGAAATGCAGGAGTTCCGGGATATGAATTGCTGAACTGGGAGTTGGGAGAGAAGTTTGGGTGCTGTACTTATACCTCTATGAAGTCCAGTATTCACCCAGTATGACGGAATACCTCTAATCTGCACCACATGGGCGTGGCCAGGGGGTTGAGGGTTCAAATCCCCCCGAAAAGTTCTAAAAAATATTTTTCCTAAACTATTTAAACCTATAATTAAAGGTCTATTTGAGCTACTCCGCTGGAGATAAGTATGGGTGGTTCAAGATACTACATTACCCATTTTTTAAAGAGGAGAGACGAGGAGTAAAGATGGCTGCCTACGTAACAATATTTAAAATTGAGGCGTGCCTGCCGCCATTATCCGACACCGACTTCAATCTAACCACAATAAAGAAACAGCACAAAAAGAAGTCCAATTGCTTTAAACACTTCGATCTTCAAATTTGAACACTGACCTTATCACAGCATTCAGCCACGATCAATGATTTGCAACTTTCGAGGAATAAAATTGAAGACGAATATCCCCAACTCTATGAAGAAGCAAAGGCTTTGCTAGAAGAAAATGGTGGTACAGTGGGGATGCCGCGCGTCGTCGGAAGGCAGTTGAACCGCCCTATCATTTCTGCTCCGGATACAGGCACTTATTTCAAAATAAATGTATTCATCCCATTCCTTAAACATACAATTCAGCAATTGACTGAAAGGTTTACGATGCACTGTAAAGTTTAGTGATATCAGTACTATTTGGTGTGTTCTGCTTTGGAATGCCTCGATAACTGCAATCAAAAACTATATCCAAGTATCTTCACATCGCTACAAATTTTGGCTACTATACCTGTATCCACTGTTACCCCAGAAAGGTCTTTTTTAAGCCTAAGGAGACTGAAAAACTATTTGCGCAACACATCGAGTGAAAACAGACTGAACGGTTTGGCCCTTATGAACACTCACTGTGAGACTGAAATTGATGCCGACGATGTAGTGGATATATTTAAAAAGATAATTGGATCTCAAAACTTTGAGCTAGATAATGGCAGGCAAGTGAATAGGACAGCGCGTGCTCTCTGAAATACGTTTTCCTTTTTTTGAATGCATAAGATTGTAATTTGGTGCATATAATAAAAACAACCATTTTCACAATCATTCTCATGTCTGACATCTTTTAGTATGAAAAAATCAAATACGATCGCCATGCCAAATAGTCCAAAAAGTGACTATTTTAGATTAGTATTTGAAGCAACCTTAGTAAAAAGATTGGGCGGATTAACGTCCAGCGATCTTGATGTGCTTGCAATAATATGGATGAGGCACCAGATCCATCTTCATCGATATCACTTGGTCTGGATGAGTATGGTGTGTTTGACTACAAATGTATTTCCCAAAAGTTGACCTATTGAGTGGGGAATCTAAAAGGCTAAACAGTCGGTTGCGTAGAAAATCCAAATCAACCTCTTACTACCTAGATTCATATTCAGCACTCATAAAGGTAGATCCGGCGCTGCAGCCTTATTCCATTGGCACCAAGATCGCATGAACCTTTTTTTTTTTTTAATGGAGTTCCTTTAGAAAACTTATATACCAATGGTAACAAAATTCGGTTCCAAAGTTGAACTAGCCTGGAGCTGAGGCTAGCTAGTGGTTATTCTGTCAAGTTAAAATGTTTTATGAGACAATGTATGGCATATATATGGCAATGACGCCCATTACATTAATAAATTTAACATAAATTATGACAGCAGTGTATATAACAATAACAGCATTAAAAAACTCCCAATATCCAACTAACATTTTCGACTAATTGACATGGTGAAAACAAATTTTCATTAAAATTTAGACTTTGGTATAACACTTACCTACATATATGGTTTCCTCTTCAAATAAAGAAAAATTAATACAGAATGAGATGCAAGTGTGTTGGGTTCTCGAAGAAAGGCAGGGGTATTATGTAACATGAAAAGTGACACTGTCGGGTTTTTTTGACATTATGTAGGTTTTCTTACAAAACCTCAACTTGGAACTAGTTGTCATTCACCTAATGCTCACTTGCAGCAAGCACAGAATGAGCAATTTGTGCACTAGCATACAACTACTACTTAGGCCCATATCGTCAGTCGTTCCTACAATATTGTAGGGCGCGTTTATGGCCTCCTTGATTGTTATACTCCTATTGTGAAGATATGTTTTCTTTTTAAATTGTGGGAAATTTCAGCCTGATAAAACATGATATAACTCAAAAGCAAGGACAATTTGATGCAAATAGATATTTGTGACATAACCTCAAAACAGAGTGCTGTCACGGAAAACTATGACAATCAAGGAGGCCATAAAGGCGCCCTACAATTATTGTAGGAACGACTGACGATTCAGGCCTTAGTCAACAACTTGACATTTTTCATTTTTTTTGACATTTTTTACGTACTAAACCCAAAGGGTCAAAGATATAGCTATTCATAGGAATAGCAATAGGCAATCAACTGCTGCAAGCCAGTTTTTCAACAAAAAAATGAAAAGCATAAGATATGATAAAATGAAATATTGCCACATATAGTATGTATGATGTGACCTATTGGCAGATGCAGCATCTACTGCCATCCACAGAGATATTTAATCTAGATTTTGAAGCTTGCCAGACAGAAGTTGCGAAACTTTAGTAGTTAAGAAATATTTATTGTATGTTTTTGAAATAGTTTATCAGTAAATACATTATTAAGTTGGTTCATACATTTGTAAAGTCAAACAGAACAGTAAATTTAGCAGAATTTATTAAAAACCACATTAATCATATCAGGTCTATACCTTTTCTGATTTGATCTTCCTTTTCCCAGTTTTCTTATTACCTGGTGTAACGTAAGTCACCAGAGAAGTACCTTTCTTCCTAATTAATTCCCTAGCAATCTTTTTTACAGTATCTGCATTCAAAGGACTTGGCTTTTTTGTTCTTTTTATGATTCCGCCACTCTTCTTTTTTATCTTGGGATCTTTTTTATCTATTAATATAGAATCTACTGATGTGGCTTTATCAATCTTTGACAGTTTATTCACAGACTTTGTTGATTTAGATTTTTTAATTGATAATGATTGACTACTACCAGATTTTGATATTTTTGGTTCACTAATTGATGCTGTGTTGATAGATTTTCTTGATTTTTTAAGAGGAATCTTGACATCTACTTCAGAGACAAATTCTGTTGCCTGAATAATCTCTGTTATGCCATCACCAGCATCAGCATGATCCCTTTTAACCGGTTTTTCTCCTGTTGGTTCAAAATTTGATTCAATGCCCATGCTGTGTAACTTCTGTAATTTTTTATTGAGTTTTGTTAGTCTCGATTTTACTCTTTTTGTATGAGTCTTTTCATCCACAGGACCATTAAGTGTAGGGAACTGCCTCCGTCTTCTAGATTGTGATGAAAAGCTGTTCTGGGTACTGCTTGCACCGTGGAATAGGTGATTTGGCCTTTTTTCATAGGGTACATACTCAGCTGTAAGAAAGAATATGTTGTTATATGTATGCATAAGAAAAGATTTAAACACCTTACAACATTTTTATATAAGACATAAATCTGCTCTGCCCTTTTACAAGAAGCTGTAAGTAAGTAATATTTTCAGATTTTGACTGTGTCAACCTGTTGTCAAAATTTGTAATTCAAGTCAAACTAACTCATAGTAGGTATAATCAATGCTTGAATTTATTGAAATATTTCAAACATTCATCATAAAACTTTGTATATTGGTGTAATACAGTGTGGGTACAACAAAAATATTAAGATAAGTATCATACCATTGATTTTTTAAAGGTGACCTACCTACAATTCTCTTCTTAAACATCAGATAATTGTTCATGGTTTCAGCAGCTATTCTGGCGACTTCTTGATGGAAAAATTCCACATATCCATAACCTTTACTTTGCCCAGTTTTGTTAGACCTGCATACTTTAACATTTGTAACTTTGCCGAACTGATCAAAGTACTGCTTTATTTCTTCCTCATAAAATCCATGTGGTATATGTCCGATGTATATAAGACCTCTTTTTTCTTCAGCAGATTGCCGTTGCTTCTTCTTCTTGTCTTCTATAATTTCTATTTTCCCGGTCTAGAATAAAAAGTGTGAATAATCCCCAAAGACATCAAATAAAGTAGCTCACTTTTATCTGTTGTTTCAACTTCTTGGTTTTGTTGCTAAACTTTTTCTGGTTGCTCTTTTCGAGAGCTATAGCATCCCCGTTTTTAATTTTCTTCATCGTGTGTAAATTTCTTCTGAATTAAAAACTGTTCAAAACTCCAATTTTCAATACAAAAACACGTGTTTTTATACAGCAGAAAGCTGTCAGTCCTGTAAATACATGACAAATGACAGTAAGCTTGACAGCTGTACTACACCTGGAAATAAGGCGCGGCCGAGTGTTCCAAGACATGTTAACGTGATTAGTTACTTTATCACCATTGGTCATGCATTGGTCAATTATCCGAAATTCGGAATCAAAGGGTTAAGTTATAACCAGGAAACGATAAAAGAAAAAGTTAAACAACAACAGTCCATCGTACAGTGCTACCAGATCTACCGATTCTTTGGTAGACCTACAGATTTTAGTCTTACCGAGCTGCCCATCGACGATAAATAGAGAGAGCTACCGATTTTAAGGACAAATCTACCGAAAATTCTTTTAAACTCTTGAATAATACCTATATTTCTGATATGATTCAACGAAACACAAGAACACATTCTTGAGTGATTAAGCGTCCGTTCCTCAATATTCGGTCAGTGCTAACACTGCAATAGAGCTATTAAATAATGATATGAAAAGCATAACTAATGTGAATAAGTTCAAATTAAACAGAAACAAAACAAAATATATGCTAATAGGAAAATCCTTAGATGAAAATACGATAAATCTCTCTATTAGGGCGTATACGTAGATAGTAAATTAAAATTTGAAGGACACTATCAATATGTTATTTCAAAAATATCCAAAAAGATAACTGTTGTAGAATTTCGAATAGCTTAAGCGTTTATTCTGAAAAAATTGTGTACAGCACTATCATTCTTCCTCATTAGTTATATTGTTCGACTATTTTGTTCACTGCAAACGAAACCTATTTTCAAAATTTCATCTTAAATAAAAATAAATATACTAGAATAATTTTTGCTGAAAGAACTTCAATGGTTAAATATCAAACATTTCAAACCCTACTTGGCTTTCATTTTCATATTCAAGTTGAAAAATCATCTTCTACCAAATCACTTGGAAATTTTTTTTGTATCGGACAATGAGTACAGGGTTTTTCTACTAGAGGGAGTACAGACTTTCATTTACAAAATTTCACTAGAAAGGTGACGAGCAAGTCAGTATTCTAAAAGGAATTGTATCAAGATATCTGCCAGTTTGAAAATGATCAAGGGGAAATTGAAAAAATATTTTATGGAAGACCAGAATTCATAGTAATAAAATTTTGCATAAAAATGTGTAGTCTTGAGGACATAATATATTATGTGTTATACTGTGTAACATGGATATTTTAGCATTATTGCTAAGTAAATCTAAAAGAACTAGCAGCATTTTATCATTTGATAATACACCCCTTTCTGCTCTTCAACTTTCAAAACTCAGTGGGGGACAAGCAAGGTGCCCCCTTTTCAGTTTCCAATCATCTTTTACCTATTGCTTTATGTCTACCGCGATGTTCCGAAAAATTTGCACAAATCTACGTAAAACAGGTCGACTATTATACCACACATACCACAGACTATACTTGGCAACATTGCCATCAGATGTGTTATGTGTGAAGTGGTGTGAAGGGCGATGAAGAAATGAGGGCGAAGTGGATGTTTCTGTTTTGTTTGTTCCGTTGTGATGTTCTGTGGTGCGTTGAGAGTTGTCAAATATACTAAAAGTGCAGTGTAGGATCCAAAATCCAATTTAATTTAATAATATTAGCATTTTTATGTATATAAAATGTGTGGAGGCTTTACGTGCTCCAAAAATGCTCTTATTGCCCTCAACGTGTTATACATCGTAAGTTATACAACACTTAAATGATCGTTTTTATACATTCTGCTATCTCTAGGTAGTCGCAAACATCTTAATAGGGGTAGCTGTATACGGTAGGGCAGCTTCCCTGGTGACAAATTTACCTATCGTCGGGGGAATTTTAGCATGCGGCATTATACTAATACTGATCTCAGTGCTGGGGCTCCTCGGGGCTGTGAAGCATCATCAAGTCATGTTATTCTTTGTATCCTTTTAGCAAAACAGGAAATGTGCTCATTTAACCAATTGACACATTTCGTAAATTAAAAATTGGATAATATATGTAGGTCATTCGGTAAATGTTGTTTACTACTCAAATGTTATTGTTTCTCGAGAGTCCATCACCAATAATATCTCATCCTCTCAAACCTGCAGTAAAACCATTGCTTTCATTTTCTCTAGAAGATAAAGGAAAAAGTTGTGTATTATCAAGAATAAATGAAGTGTATAGTAAAGGGGTCATATGCCTACTTCAATATTGTATTTGCTGTAATCATTTGTTGAGTTTTTATAATGCCATAGTGACTGAAGAACACAACCATTCTTTTCCTAACTGATTGTGTGTCTATCACTTTCAAACACCCATACATGACTCTGAGACTTTGTTGGCAAGACAATAGAATAAAGCCACATTACATCAAGCATTACTGTTGAAAAAACTTCAGTGGATTGTCCTGATTTAATGCCTTGGATAAAATATAAACTGATATAATATTTTCTTAACAGACACATAGTACATGGTCATCCTATTTTTACTATTCCTTATTCAATTTTCTGTGGCTTGTGCTTGCTTGGGTGTAAACAAAGAACAGCAAGCTCAGCTGGCAGAACAAGGATGGATTCATGTAGATAATGATACATTGTCACAAGTACAAGATAGTTTCAGGTGCTGTGGTTTTGATGATAAGGTTGATAAGGAGGTTCATCATCCTACTTGTGAGGTAATACAGTAATTTTTTTAACTTATACATATTTTGGACCACACATACATGTAGGTGCATAAGGAAATTGCATAGCTTCTTTGAATTTGGGTATTTTTTCTTCAAATCCAATACAGCACGCATCAGTTGGCTTAATAATTATAAAATTCAATACTTCACTTTGAAGTAAAGCAGAAGTGGCACTAATTTTTTGATCACCATTTTTTAGCCTCAAAGATGTTGTGTTCCACCAGATACAGACAACTGTCAGTGTCCACCATGTATGGAGAAGTTACAAAATACAATAAACTATGCATTTAAACTATGTGGATGGATTGGGCTATTTTTCAGTTTTACTGAGGTAAATATAAGCTGGTTTTTAGATTGTTTTCTTGAACTACACCTTATCCATCAGTTATTATTGCCACCTGCAACATAACATTTCAAGTTACACTAAATTTGGCAGATATACTAGGAAGAATAAACATCTACGTATTTTCTATTCAATATGGGTACAGGTGTATTTTCTGTGTGTGAAGGTAGCTCCAAAAGCTGGCTCCACAATCCTACCCGCTGCTCGATTACAGCGGACCGAATAAAGGCTGTCCGCCTGCAATATGCCGCGCCGTGGCCGTAGCGTTACTCGAAGAAGCCCGTGATGCGCATACGAGGTGAGCGCGGTAATTATATACGAGCCCCTTCCCACTTCAGTTGGCCCACTTCAAGATTTGTACCAAAATATGCCTTTATAAACTAAACTTGACTAAACTATTTACTTCTAAAACAATTTATTTTCTCAAAAACATTTTAGATACATTCTAGTCGTAAGAAATACATATTTGAAATCACATAGACCTATAACTAATAGAACAAATAAACAATGTGCGAATAAATGCGCGAAGTTAACAACGCAACAATTGAAAGATTACCATTGGGTAACATCAGCTTTATTTTTTAATATGGTTGAAATTCTTTGGGGCATAGTGTTAACCAAGTTTTGGCAAAAATTTGGTGTAAAACAATCCCATATTTCTTGAAGCTTTTGTCTCAGTTCGGTGATTGTACGAGCAGGATGTTGTCGTAGAACCTTTTTCATCTCGTGCCACAAAGTTTCAATAGGTGACAGATCTGGACTGCTAGAAACCCATTTCAAAAGTGGTATATTATTTTCTTCCATCCATTTTATAGCCTGTTTTGAGGTATGGCACGCTGCACCATCTTGCTGAAACACAAAATCTTGGCCGGATGTCAAACATTCTTCCATCACTGGTAAAAGCGATTCATCTAAAATTGCCAAATATTTGTTTGTATCCAGATTTCCATCAATAAAATGAAGTTTTCCTACTCCTTTTGATGACATACTGCCCCAGACCATAATGGATGCTGGAAATTTCACTTTTTTCTTCAGACAATCAACATGGAATGCTTCCTTTTTTTTTTGCGAATAACTCTACTGCGACTGTCACCAACAAAAACTTCGAATCGGACACACCATTGTTGAGGTATCCATTGTCTATGTTCGTTAGCCCATCTGAGCCGATTTTTCTTTTGCAGTGGAGTTAATAGTGGCTTTTCTTTGGCCTATAAACAAGTTGTGCAACTTTAGGGTTTTTACTTCACTTTTTTTTTATAAGAAAACTTACCTTGCAAGTGCTAAATCCCGGTTTGTGGGCCTCTCTATGAGTTGCGGACCTCGAAATTCTCCTTCCAACAGCGTCACTCCACAATTGTAAATAATTGGGACGCCTGTTTTTCACGATTATTCTTCTTAGGCCCGTATCGTCGGTCGTCCCTACAATTGTAGGGCGCGTGTATGGCCTCCTTGATTGTCATAGTTTTCTAATTTTCCCTGTCAGCGCTCTATTTTGAGGTTATGTCACAAATATCTATTTGCATCAAATTGTGCATGCTTTTGATTTATATCATATTTTATCAGCCCGAAATTTCCTACAATTTAAAAAGAAAACATATCTTCACAATAGGAGAGCGCTGACGCTGACACAGAACAGGTGCAATTTAGAAATTTTTGAAGGAGAGAAAAGAGTATGACAATCAAGGAGGCTATAAACGCACCCTACAATTGTAGGAACGACTGACGATACGGGCCGTAATGCTCTTCGGTCGGCATTTGTGATATTACTTTTTTTCACATATCGTGGCTTAATATTAACTAAACCAGTTACGTTATATCTTCTAACAATATTTCACACACTCTACCGCGATAAGTCTAACAAAGTTGCAATTTCACAGTTTGATTTCCCAGAATTAAAAAATTTGATTATCAGTAACCGAATTTTCTCACTAATAACCTTTCCTCTACCCATTTTGAGAACCTTAACTACCCAAAACTATTTTAAACGTATTCTGACAGCTGTGATTAATAAAAACAATGGTCATGGCTTTTATTTTTCACAGCCACCTATGCATTATAGACTTATTTTGCATTGAAATGAAAATAGGTTGATATGCTGTAATTGCAACATGTGTTATTTTTATGCTGCAAATTTGATTAGGGAGTGATAAAGTTGGTGTTTTCTACTATATATTATCAAAATATTCATTGTTAATATTTTAAACCTATAACACCCTGCTACATTTTTATTATTTGTGTTTGATAAGCAAAAAGCTAAGATTTCAATAGTTGGGCCAACTGAAGTGGGAAGGGGCTCATATATTCTATCTGTACCTACGAGTCTTATGCTATTGCGGTATTGCATTAACTGGTTCTGCAGAGTTTGTAGGTTCGTATCTAAAGCTTCTCGTACATCTCAACTCATAACAAACAAGCCTGTAGGGTATTTTTAAGTCTGTCGGGCAAGGTGAACGTTACTCCCTGCAATTTAGGATTTTCTTATTTCGTGAAAACCTGCAGATGTGCGTCGATGTGCGTTTCGTAAATTGCAGGGAGCATCGCGCACCGTATCCGACAGACCTCTTTCTTTGGAGCTGACGTGTAAGACCGTTTGTAACAACATTACGATAACTGATTATAATAGCTCTTGTTGTGTACTTTAAACCCTGAAAAGCACATCGACGCACATCTGCAGGTTTTTCGAAAAAAAATCCTAAATTGCAGGGAGTATCGCTCACCTTGCCCGACAGACTTCTTTCTTTTCAGCTGGGGTGTAAGACCGTTTGTAACAACATTACGATAACTGATTATAATAGCTCTTGTTGTGTACTTTAAACCCTGAAAAGCACATCGACGCACATCTGCAGGTTTTCACGAAAAAAAAAATACACGACAGGCCTGTTTGTTATGAGTTGAGGTGTACGACTAGCTTTAGATACGAACCTACAAACACTGCAGAACCAGTTAATGAAATACCGCAGTAGCATAAGACTCGTAAGGACAGATAGAATATATATAATTACCGCGCTCACCTTGTAAGCGCGTCACGGGCTTCTATGAGTAACGCTACGGCCACGGCAGCTTTTGGAGCTACCTTCACACTCATTATTTTCTGTCTAATCTTGTTTTTCATGTTTTAACATCTAATGATGCAAACATATGATTGGCAAGTGACACCTTTGTCTCAAGTCTTTACAGTTGTGCTGTACAGTAGTAATAATATTTTTTTTTTAATAATAATAATATTTATTCACTCAATGTACAAAGATAACAAACAATATGAGTAAATAAATATAAAATCAAAACAGGCCCAATAGATGGCATCGCCTGTACATGGCCCAATAATTTAAGTTGAAACTGCATCTAATGTTTAGTAGTTTCACTGACTGGCAATTTTAGCAATAAAATATACAAAGTAAACATAGAGAGTTGCAGTAAATCATTGTTGGACAGTATGTATCAGTACAAAAAGGCATAACAAATATCGGCACAGATCACACATTTATAACACAGATCCGACAGAGTTGTATACGTATACATGATTCTGTGTCACTTGATAATATGGGGTATATTGAATGACATTAGATAATAGCTGTATCATGAAAAATAGAATATGGGCTGAAATCGACATGTCTGCTTTCCATCTCTTCAATCATAACCAACTATAGACAGGGCTGTTTCTTTCTTATTAGCTACTGATTGGCATAGTATAGACAGAGGACCCCTGTCATCTTCATCATATAGGATTGTGGGTGAAAATTATCTTCACAAACTATTGGAAGGTCGTCATATCATACAACATTTTCAGTTTTTCAAAAGAGTGTACCTGCTCGTTTGCTTCCATTTGTCTCTAGTACTAGACTTATACTGCACTGATCAGTTGCCAATGAGCTCAAAATAGTGCTATCTGCTGTTGGTCATGGCTACTCAAATGGAAAGCAAATACTTCCATTTCAGCTTGTGTCTATTTATGCATATATGGATAGAAATCCATTGCTAGTTTGCTTTGTGGGCATTTAGTATTCCGATCCCTTGAGGAAGTAAAGGGCCTCTGGCATCTTCATCATATTTGATGAAGATGACAATCAGCTTGGGAAACTATTGATAGGTGGCGATCGTCACCTACTTGCGCACAACATAGATTATCTGTGAGTGTTTGCTGTCTCAAATAGTTTTGTGTTGTTGTCATTTTTTGTTGATACAATCACGTTTAATGACCCGCCGGAAGTTGAAACCCCTTTTTGCAGCACCCTTGATTATTTTCAGAGTTTTGAACTACTTTCTAATACTTGTAAAGTTCAAAGTGGGGTGCGACATAGGTCTGCAGTTTTTCTTTGCGAAATTTTTAAAAAGTTTTGGGTGTGCTCCGCTAGAACTCCGGGTGTTTTCACTTTTGAGGGAAGTTTTAGGGTTTTCGAAGACATTTATCGACATTTATCGACATTTTCCTTAACAAACAGTGTTTTTTTGTAATGGTATCCCCAAATTCTGCTTTTGAAATTGTACTGAAAATTATGCTAGAGGTGCTAGAACTCTGCGCTTTTTGCTTTTGTTCAGCCTCAAGTGAGTTATGATATTTGCAGTTTTTTCTTATAGCAACCTAAATTCCAGTTTTTGAAAATTATTAAAAATCATTGGTTGCATGCATGTATGAGGCTTACTGCGCTGGAGTGCAGTGTACTTGTTGCATTTTCTGGCGATAAATGTGTCATGTTAGCAAATTGCCTCGTGGATGGTTGATACTGATTTTTGTTAATTTCCGAAATTCAGCATTACTCTTACTAATACCCATTGAGAACTGTCGCAATATTCACTACCTTGTGAATCCGCAGCTCAGGACTCACGTTTTAAGTAAAAGGGGTGCGGCGTCAAAAACTTCTTTAAAAATTTTTCATAAACAAAAATGGCAGAGATGCTGTCGCACCCCTTCCCTGAGAAATGTAGAACTATTAGAAAGTAGTTTAGAACTCTGAAAATAAATAATCAAGGGTACTGCAGAAAGGTGTGCCAACTTCCGGCGGATTGGTTAATGGTACTGAAAACATTGACAAAATGTAGCGTGAATGTCTTAATTTCATACTACTTATAGACTTCGTTTTGTACAATTTGTTATTGGCCTCCTTCAACAGATTTCATATTTTTGCATTTACATACAGTGTGAGTAATATTAGAGGAATGCAGGTACAACTTATTTGTAAAATTAATTGCAGATAATGACACTCATGACTGATAATCAAGATTTGGGATGAATTATTTAAAATATTTTCTTGTTAAAAAAAGTGAAAGAGTATAGTGTGAATAATAATTGATTCATTCAAAGCTTAGAATTATTAAATCTGAACCAAAAACAGGTATTTTGATTGATTTCTCCTATCTTGTTCTGTATACGATTTTTCTTCTCTTCCCTTTTACACAATACTATTCAAGGTGGCTTCTTTCACTTTTTTTGGCTGGGTCTCAACATATTCTGATGGTATTTGGTGCATGTTTCAGTTCATGGGCGTTTTACTAACCGTACGTTATCGTAATCAGAAAGATCCGAGAGCTAACCCCAGTGCTTTTCTATAACAGCTATACAATCAGTGGTGGGTCTAGAATATATTTACTATTGTTTAAGTTTTGCTTATGGTTATATTGATGGAGAAAATTATTTGTAGCTTAGGATGTGACTATTTTTACCCGCGCTAAAGCTCGTCATACCCGTTATTCTTGAGAGTTAATTTTGTACGTGTATGGCCAGCTTAAACTTAGGTAAGACTAATTATATTCTAAGCGGTCTCTTATTTTAAAATGTATCTGTGACATGTGAGCGTTTAAAAAGATAAACAGTTTAACAGTATTATATTACATTAATTCCAGTATTCATCATTAATACACTTCTGAGGCTTACTGAACGTGCATGTTAAGGACAAGTATTTCTTTCCTACAACCGCCAAAAAAGTCGGTTTTATTGTTCACAATCGGCCATTTAAGATTGACATTGCCCGAGTAGTTGTAACTGATAGATTTGTCGTCCTAAAGCGATAAATTAGTAGAAGCAAGTTTGTACTGACCGTGTGTTACGACAGAAATGTATAATTTATTATAAAAACAGACACATTGAATGCTGGTTTAACTCTAATATTTTGAATGTTTTTTATGTTAGGTACTAAAGATGGAAAATACCTTTATATAATTGTGAAAGTATTTCTACTTATATTGTAATATTAAACTGCGGTTGTAGAAAAATCTTGTGTGCTTTACGGACGCCAAGGATTGTGGCGCTGTCGAAATACCGTCGCGCTCCATCTCGAGTCATCGTTTCCGAGCAGCAAAGTAATACATACTTTGTGCTCTGGATACACAAATCCCAGATAGCAGAATAAACTTGTTTCTGACTTGCAGCAAGTTTGTTGTATCACAAATGCAGGCTTGCTTCAAGCTTGCCATGGCAACCCTGCACACTTGCAGCAAGTTTAAATCAAACTTTCTTGTCCCATACGACAAACTTGCTTAAAGTTTACTTTTATAAATATTATACAAAGTTTATATAATAAATTTGTATAAAGTTTGTTTTGATATATCCAGTTTTGACATGACAAACTTGGCAATGTAACTTGCAAAACAGTTTAGCCCCTAAATCGAATCACATTAGATACATGATTTTACTGACGTTTTGGTTGTCCCTGAAATCAATATCGAGGAACATAATGTAACATTTGATTAGAAAGACGTTCAATCCACATGGATGAATGCTGATGTAGACCAAGTCACATTTACGATAATTCTCCTTCTGTAAGGGGTGCTGGCGCATCCGAAACGTCAGTAAAATCGTTTATCCAACTAATGAGATTCGATTTACTAGGTTCACGAGGATAGTTATATGCACTATATACAGGAAACACAGCAGAGTAAAGTTGTAAATAATAAATACCAAAGAGATCATGCAAGTTTTAGCAGAATATATTGCGAATACCAGGAAAAAAGGTTCTAAATATAAACTCAATTTTTTCTATGCTCCAACTATCACGAAGGCCTAAAACACCCATGGGGTACGTGGGGCTATAGGGGAAACAGGGAAAGCGAGCGAACACGTGTGCATGCAGCATGCACACATTCTGGCACCGCCTACGAGATCCGCCGAGTGGTACCTCCGCGTTAGACATCAGAGACCATCTACGACCTAGCGAAATCGCTGTACGATAAAGTGGAAAAGGTGGAAAACGTAAACGCAAGTGCCACGCCAACATGGTACATGGCACACCGTTGCCAAATCCATTGGTCGATCGGATTTTTGTCGTCAATTTGTGGCGCGAATTTCAAATAAACGTTTGTCTATATTTATTCCTTTACATAATATACTTCAAATCATGAACAGAATACACTCGGCTGTACCAAGCCATGCACTGTGGAAAAAGTAACGTATTTGGGAAAGGATCGAATTTTTCTCTGCGATATGGTATAACTGCATATGCAAGTTGCGGAGCTCTTATGCAGAAGTAGATAACGAAAATAAAATTACTGTTAATAACGATTAATAGAAAAACCTACAAAACATTGATTAATTCCTCAGATGTTGGGAAATTCCTTATACATTGGCAGTTCTGATTACTTCACCTTACTTCCGATAGATGGCGAACATGAAGTTGTTGTTGCAACCTTGTCACAAACTTGCAGCTCTTTGCAGCAATATTTTCACAAGCTTCGTCATATTTGACGGTAACAACTTACAATCAAAGGGAAACGAAAGTTTGTCACAAGTTAACATGCTATCTGGATTCGTTGTAGTGTTGTATATGGGAATATATAAATGAAGATGAAAACTAGTCTTCTATTGCATGTAAAACAAACACCAGTGAGATCTGTTCTAACATTTATTTTTATTAGATAATAGGTTTGTTACTAGCGAGACGCTATCGAAACCAGTCTGACCCAGAAGACGATAAACTTGCTACAGCAGTTTTCCCACGTCACAACTTCACATACTAATCTAGTCATTGTGTTCAAATAATTTATGTATGTTTACGTTATATTCCTCATGCCAAAGATCTTCATTCTTTTTATAAATAAATTCTTTGTACACCCATATTTCTTTCATCTGTTCATGACAATCAAGCTACAGCTTCAAAGTATGCAGAGCGCTAGGGCTTCCTACATTTATGTAATACATTTGTTAATGAATGTCTGTACTATAGCAAATAATGAATCGTGTAAGAACCTTGAACTCAGTAGCCATTTGAACAAGTAATTGATAGGAGCTAAAAGTAGTGTTAATATATGCAACACTCGTCGTCTTTACAATTTTAAGTTTCTCGCTACTCCAGGGGTTTGCTTTTGCGGTAATATTCACCTTACTCGCTCTACACACGGGCGTGAAGTCAACTCGCGTGCAAAAAGCGCGCGTTTAGCCTTAGCCAGATGGCGCGCGTCGACGTGTGCGCGGATTTGTTGGCCCGCGTACAGTTTTATATAGAGTAGGACAAATTTAATGTTTTCTGATTAAATGTAACGAGCTTATTTTCAACAATTTGAACGCACGGGATTAAAATTGTGCCAATGCCAGGCACCATTTTTTAGATGTAACATATATTTCAAAATCCGGTTGTTAAATAGAGATATAAAAGAAAAACTTAAAATTGGGAAGAAGAAAATGGTGAAACATTTTAAAATCAACTCAAAACTCTTTACTAATACAATATACTTTTACTAGCAACTAACCATAAAAAAAGATTAAAAACAACATTTTATACAAACTTATACAGATGTCATATATACTGTACTGTATGTACTGTACTCCATTCTTTTTCTGTATAAAAAGTTACTATAACATACGAGTCACTGATGTACCTATAACGGTATTATTCGAAATACTTGTCAGGGCTTGTCGACGCATGTCGGAACGCGTCCCGAGCGAACAGAAAGTCGCGCGTTTTTTGTAGCGCGCCAATTTGACGCTTGTGTGTGGTATTTGATATACTTTTTTAAACTGTTCAATATATGTATATTTTTGAAACTGTAGCTTCCGACTGTTTAGTGTAAGCTGATTTTAGCTCTGCTGTGCTTATAAATTGCCATATTTTATTGCCTTTATAATCTTTTTTATAACTTTTAATGTGATGTGTAATTAAGATCTTAGCACGTTATAGTTTTTTCGATGTGATCGTCTATTTTAGCTCAAACGCGAACTAAAGTATTTGGTAGATAAAATATTACTCCAGCATTTCTAAGCGAGCCTGTAACAAAATATTTCACTATAATTTGGTGTTAAATGTTATATATTGTTTTATAATGAGTAAATATGTTGGAGTAGCTCATTTCCTGTAGAATCGTTTCTGAAACTTTTCTACTGTTTTCTAGGATGTTGAGTATAGTGATACATGTTAGGAATAGAAGGTAAATAAGGATAACTTATTTTATGATACTTGCAAAGCGCTCGTCAGATAAAAGACACTGTGACTATTGTCGTAGTACATATATGTGTATATTTTGTGAAAAAATAGCTTGTGATTTAAGTTATGTAGTTTTTCTTTTGTTTAAATTAAAGACACTTCGGCAACCTGTAATCGTGTATTTTTTCCTTTAAACACCAAAAGCATTATGTGAAACTTTAGACAAAGTTGACGACTTTTGTATTACAAGTTTGAGGTTTGCAATAGGTGTTGTAAAAACTAAAGGAACTACAGAGGAGTGATAGTGACCTCCAATATTTCCAATCCACCGTCGGTTTTATAAGCGTGATAAGCTTACTTTGAATCTGAATAACACACTTTATAGGTTTCGTCATGCGTTTTTTCGCTGCCTCTTTTTATTTCCTTTAAACACAAATATAAGGAAGAAAAAATGGGGAGTAATCTGGAACTAAATGGTGCTAGTTAGGTTGGGGGTCATAGCATTTTCCTTATGATCTGATGCATGAGTGATTTTATATTTTTTAAATTGTTCTCACGTTGCCTCATTGTTGTATTGTGCCTTGTGCTACTCGAGAACGTTTAGCCAGAGCTTTCCGTGATGAGCAACCGAGATTGGATTGCGGTAGCGTAACACAGAGGCAGTAGTAAAAAACTCATAGAGACAAGCATGCCCGTCCGTGAACCAGCGAGCAGAAATGGACGCGCATATCGGAAACATTTCTTCTTCATTCCAAGTTTTAAGGGCAAATGTGCGGTGAAGTCTGATGTGTGAAATATGTCCAATAGGTGCGTAGAATTAGAAGGGTTTGTAACGTATGAATATACTAATAACAAAAGATTGGGATGTATAAAAAAATTTCTGAAAACGATCATTAGCCTCAGAAACGGCAAAAAACGAAGTTTAAGCGATTCTTCTGCACCTACCTCTACTGCTACTGCAAAAATTTTCAAAAACTACAAATCTTTTACCAAAATTTAGATAAACCCTTACAACCCCATCCCCAAGTTTTGGTATCTCTAAGATTTTTTTCAAAAATGATCAGGATCCTCTGAAACGTCAAAAAACGAAGTTTGAGTGATTTTTACGATTTTCAAATACAAATCTTTTGCGTCCTTGCATACTAGGAACATTGCGTGAAAATTCGTTCGAAAACCGAGCGGTACTTCTCAACAAATACACTGATATAAGATTAGCAGACCGACGGAAATGACTGACATGTTTTTTTATGAAAAACATCTCATTTTCGAAATTTTTTCGATTAAAAAACTTTAGAAATTAACATTTTAAAGATCCTTGTGCCGACTATGTTCAATTTTGGCAGTTGTTCACTGCAATAAGATACTAAGTTAGCAGTATCCAGAAGGTATTATGAATTCCAGTGGCGTTTCGGGGAGCTATCTTACCAATAATATTAATAAAAAGTGTACGCCACTGCCTTTTTAAAAAAATTCCAGTAGGCGTATCTAAATATTTACGTTTTTGTAATAAACGTTGTAATTGGATTATGTAATGTGACATGAATATGTATATCCTATTGTATGAGTAGGTATCCATCACGCTTTGACGTCTACTGATGTAAACAGCTGATCAGCAAGTGTCATTTTTGTGTTAGTCTGCAACGTTGGCTGTAATGAATCGAATGTAAATCTAACAAAAAATTGTTTGTAGCGTTTTGTTTTTTGTATGCAAATGAACTTTTCTAAATAAAAGAGCTTTTAGCAAAGACAAAATGAATCTGTAGTGTACAAAAAGCCAAAACAAAATATGGCTGTCTACCTGGAATTGATGGATCCGTCAGAATTATGTGCCCTTTTCCGATATGAGGAATTTTGAAATAATACTAGACAACCAGCTGCCATTCTACCGTAATGGAAGCTCGTGAACTAGGGTATATTTGAATTTAAATCTATAATGTCTTAATTGTTATCAAATTTTCCTTTTCTACAACAGTTGGATATAATAAACGGAGTAGAGCATAATTCTGCAAATGAGTTGTTTCTGATAATGTTGTTGAGCGATAGTGTCACTACATTTGTTATCCAAACGTGTCCGTAGCAACCGCTCTTACCGCGCGTTGACGACGTCGCATACCTGTCTGTTCTTGGTCTCGTTATCGCCGTCAAGGATATTGAAAAGAAATTTGTGGAAGTTCCCTTCAATAAACTTTATTTCAAATGATACAATTTTCAATCATCACTGACTAAATCTAATGACACATACATCAATCAACAATAACTTACAAACACATATATTTGTACACATCAACAGCATCCTTTATAACATAATTGCGTTTATAATGTATTAATTATTGTGCAATTGCAATTTTTATGCTTAAGAAAGTACTTTGTCCAGATCCTATAATCTACTCTAATAAATCCATATGGTTCACACATAATTTATATCAAAGTTCGTATCTAATTCAAGTTGTAAGAATGGCTTTTTGGCATAATTTTTAGTAAAACCTCATGTTGGCGGTAGGTATTACTATTAACAAACTTTGATACAACCTACAATAGTTTGAACCATGGGCTTATGTGGTTTTTATGGAAACTGGTCATATAACGAAACAACAAAATCAACTTCACAAATAACAAGCTGCTTGCGTCTTTCATATTTGTTAATTATTTATAATTTTTCAAGAACAACGATATAACGGGTGAGCAGATTCAACAATAACATTTTCTGGGCCTAGAAACAATTTTTATAAACAGGACAAACTTTGGATCCTGAAAGGGAATCAACACTAAATTGGCACCACATCAAACTTGAAATTAAAAATTGTTTAGAAGCCTCTTGATGTTTTTTAGGCATTTTCGTCATCACTACTAATCGTTGTCTACAAGATAAGGTCATTCTTAATAGTTTAAAAGATATTGTCTTTTTATAATAACTACAATATTGTAATTAACATTTAGGATAAATTTTATGCTTATTCGTTTAAAAGGTAAATTTTGCCAAGCAAGAAAATCATAACACATCCACTGCTTAGAATATATTATATAGGTTGCATGTACTTAAGGTGAAAGTACTGCTCAAGTTTTGCCAAAAATATTCTTCACACACATTAGGCAGTGTAAATATTAGTTTTTTCAATGTATCGTAAAAATGCCTTGGAAGCACTGTTTTTCATAAGTACAATACATATCAACGTGAGATGGTTCAATTTTTGGGGTTCGGAAAGACCTTTGCTATTGGGGCTTGGTAATGAAGCTGAATTATTTCTCAAGATTGTTTAAATATATTTCATTATTTATTATGACTAATAGAGGGCTTACGATGTGATGTTGGGGCTGTTCTCTGAAATATCCAAGGCTACACAATTAAGAGGCAACATATCACAAATAGGAATACGAAGACTATTACTAGCTTATATAACAGTTGAAGCCTTAAATCACCTGTTTCCGAGAATTGGATCAAAACGTGGCCTACATAAGAAAATATATCGGAATTTACTTGATACGTGATAATCATTTGTTTCTGTGTTTACGCTTCCCAAATTTTTGTTAAATACATCTTCATCCTCCAATATACATGGTCTGGTGATTCTCTACTGTATGCTCTCTGTTTGGAAATGTTAAAATTATTAACTTTTGAATTTGAGATCTAATAACAGTGGCTCCTTAAAATATGATTTGTTCTATTCTAGTTCACAAAATCCAAGAACTGTATTTGAATTAATATCTATTTATATACAAACTTGAACCTACGGCTTAGATATTAACTTGACAGGTAACAATGTGAAACCTAAAATTTAGTAGATTCATATATTTTGATTCACCATATACTACTTATTCCTTCACAAGGGTAGTTTCAGTTTCGAAGTCAGTTCTATTTCAAACTGACCAACACTGTTATCCTAGCATCTCACGGAGGGCAATATCAAAAAGCAGATCCCGAAATTATATTCCTTTTGGGATTCCTACAAATGTAGTGGTGCTACCTACAAAGCATATCCACAACAAAACACGTTTTAAAGGTTTCTTGATGGTAAAAATAGGTGTTGGGGTACATAGGTCACGTAAAAGCTTTTGTTTCCACATAAAATGACTTCAATAATTTATTCTGATTTATTAGCAAAGCATATCTAATATTCCTGGGTTATTGCGCTTTGAAACACTCAACGTGTGTGGCCGCTGTAGTGTGTTTCGCTTGGAAGAGTTAATAGTACAGGATTAATAGTAGCAAATTCCATCTGATTGTGGATTCATTAAGACGACAATCTTGGTGTTAAGCACATTACGGGACATTAAAGGCAGTAGATGTTTTTAAATTGAACAGCAATGCAACGTTTTACCAACTACTGATGTTTCTGCACTCTGGGCTCTCATCTCCTTACGATACGTCAATACTTAATATTAATTAATATAACTATATAGTAATTAAAAGGGAATTCTTGAGTAGGTAAGATGGTCACTTTTTCATACACAAAAATAACAACGGAAGAGTCTCTCCATGATATGTCTGGATGTAACTTTTTTTTATAATAAGATCGGAATTATACTTCTAGCAAACATTTTAGACATTGTGCAATAGTGTAATGTAACGCTGGCGATACTTTGATAGCGCACGGTACAATAATTACATAAGAAAAATAAATATGAAAAGATATACCTAATTGCTTCATTTGATCATTATTATAATATGCACATATACATAATAAGTTATATAATACTTAATTGTTGTATGGAAACATTCAATGGTGTGGCCCATTCATTTGCAGTCAAATTAAATGATCGAAAAGTGGTTTTTAAAAATTAACTTTAATGTAATCATGGACGCCCGTAAGAATTTTTCTTAGGGAAGGCCGATCCCTATCCCCAACTTTTTGAGGAGCGGGGGATAGCATGTTTTTTTTAGGGGGGCAGAGAAGGCTAAATCCTAAAATAAGCGAATTTTATGGTTCAACCGGTTTTTCAGGGGAGAGAACCACGGCCCTCGTTCCACCCAACTGTGGGCGTTCATGAATATAATTAGGTGCATTATTTGAGCTGGTGCGTCCCTGACATACTGAAGGATAACGTTATTTTAAGAAAATGATTTTCTGAGGTCTGATGGTTTTTTTGTTTAAATAATTGAAATATATTGTACCATCTATGAATCAGATACGAGAAACCAATATGTTTGTGCTTGCTTACAAAATGTTAAAATCTCGCAGTAATTAGAATACCAGAAGTGACTTGAGGTTTGAGCATTACAGGCATCACAAAGTCTTGTGAGACGACGTATAAACGTCACATAATGACGTATAGACTTCTCAAAATAACGTCGTTGTGATTAGAAAAATAGACGTCTTAAAAATGACGTCCTTATTTTTGAAAAATGTACGTCATTTGAGATGCCAAAAAATTACGACGTTAGTATAACAAACTCACGCATACCTGTAACTATCACTTGGATTAATTTGACTGTAGATGAACGAGTTCGGTGCATGAGCGCCCGCAGGCCTTTTCCTCAGGGCGGCCGGACATATACCTTTCGTAAAACTGTATCTCTCACAAAGCTTTTTGAGAGCAGAAGTGTATCTGTACCAAAAACTTTTTGAAAAGCTGATCCTTGAGGGCCAACTGGCACCCCCCTGCTTAGTGAAAATACCGAGACTTACGAAAATTTATCAAAGTACGTAACAATCACATGAACTGATATTAAAAAAATATAACTAAGTTTCAACAATATTCACTCGATGCTCTGCGATTCCTGCTGCACGAGTTTGAATCTTCTGGGACTCTTCACCGCAATCGAGCCGTGTCCGTCGAAGGAGATGCGGCCTTTGTTCTGCAGGTATTTCTTTATGTAGCGAGCGATGAGAATTTGAGGTCTTAACTGCCACTCGTTCATTACTTCTTTGGGAGTGGCGACCTGTGTAGTAAATAAACCTATTAGTACGTAGTCTGTGGAATGAAAATTCCCTAGGGATAGCTTGTAGGCTTAGGCAAACACGCTTATAGCTTAAGGCCCTGTATCCACTTAACAAAATAGGTGCCTCTTGTTTTTAATTCTTTTCCCCAGTAAAACTTTTTCTTGGAAGCAGAAGCTGAGACGTCACTGACACGTACGTTGAACCTTTGCTGCGTTTGCTGTATGTAATGTTTTATGCTGTGATGTAGGTGTAACAAGAGTGTCAAAACGGATTCGTATTCATTTTTATTTGGGATAGGTATTTCTGAAAACGGTTAAGCTTAGGTCTTTGCTAACTTTGAACAAGGAGTTGACCTTAGATTTAACCTTAAGTCTCACTCTTAGGGTTATTTCAGGGTCGAGATTTTTTAAATGGGCAGCTTCATTTTTGACACCGGCAATTGAAAGAACGGAAAATTCCAAGCCTAAATGTGTAATAAATTCTAAGTCAAGGTCATCTCTAAAGTTCAAATGTTAATTGTAGTCACCGTTCTTGGCGGGTCAAAGTAGGACTACCAGTATCCTTTATATATCTCCATCTCCCTCATACAAACACATGCAAACTACCCCTGTGTGTGAACGTTTGTTCGATAAGCTCAAAGACATACGTTTTTTAGTTGTGTGTCTATGTCGCCTTAATAAACCATCGGCTCCAAGATATATCATAGGCGAAATATTACATGAACATGGACATCAAGTTTTGCGGCTCCCCCTTCGTACTTTTATCTAAACAATTTTGTAAATTTATAATTCTTAATTTTCTATGTGTGCACCTTAATGTAGATTGTTAAATATTTTCATAGATATGGCAGTTACAAGCTTGATCTTTATTAAGGCGACATATATTAAAAAGCTTCATCAAAATGTACTTTTTGTCTAGCCGTAATTTATTTACTGGCATTTCACTCCAGCAAAAATTGAGCATGTTTATTATTGAAGATGGTTCTTCTAAAGCTCTCATAAGCTTGTCACATATCCACATCCAATGTTAAATGCTCCATCAAGTTAGCAAATAGATGTTATTTTACATTTTATTGTAAATTTCGTATGTATTTTTTATTTCAACTTTAGAAAACATTAAATGGCGTGTCATAGGTTTTTGAGAATTACGATTAGTAAATAACTTTAAATCGGTTTCCCTCAGTTAGGAAAATTAAGATCTACCCATGGTACGGAGACTCGATCTGTTTACTTATTCCATATGGCGGTGATGACGTAACCGCCAAGAACGGTAACTACAACTATAGAAAAGGATATAGGATAACGAAAAAATCAAGATCAGACATTATGTAAGTTTTCACAACACTAGTGGCCTTCGATTTAACCTTAAGGCTCACCTTCAAGTTCATAATAGTACATGAGAACGCATTAGAACGTGAAATTTTCATTGCCGGTGCCCAGTTAAAAAAGCGCGTATACAAAGAGCGCGCGTGTGATTAACAATTAAAAGACAAATGTTCACAACTAAAATATCTACTAAAATGCTTTAGAATTTTCCTATGGATGTTTGAAAAATATTTAGGAGTCTTGACAATATTAAAACGTCGTTTTCTTATATCTTTCGGAGTCGAAAATGACATGACTAACTTGTTTAAATATTAAATCGCTCATATCCCGAAGACTATCAGCTTTATAGATTTTTTTTCCTTTATCATACCTCGAGTTATGTGAACGAAAACCTGAGAGACTAAAAAAATGCAGTGTTTATTTGTAACCCATCTTTGCGAACACAAGCTCTTTTCCACCAATATAAAGCTCAATGTTGGCTAATCTCTTACGGGAAGCGCTTGTCGCTCAACTATTCATTTTTTATCGCCGATTTCATTGTTTCTGTTTTGTTCAATACTTCAATTTATCCCAAGAGCCTTCTTGATATAACGTGCTACTAGCACTTGAGGTCGTAGCTGCAACTCCTGCATCACATCCTTTGGTGTACCAATCTAAAGCGGAAATATTAAAAATAAGTCAAAACAAAAGGAGATAAGGTGACAAAAGCCCCAGCGAGGTTCCTGTAGAGATTGGGTCCTATAATTAAAACTTCTATCTATCTTATATAACCTATCTGCAGTCTGAAATCGCCTCCTAAGAATTACAACCACTGTAGCGTGGACATGATTGGAGTACCAGAAGCTCTGGGTTAGAAAATCGTAATTTATAACTTTGAACATAACTTGTCTTCAGAAAGGACAACATATAAATAACCCATTTGGCACAGCTAATAGATATATACTTCATTGGCAGCATATTTAGTAATAATTTTCTCGCATAGCAAATATCACTGATTTTATACATATGTAGACCAATGCACATAATCATCCAGACTCGATCGACCAACTTTCTTTCTTTCCTGTCTTCTCACACTCCAGACTATTTGGCTTCAAAAACATACACTTCTGCAACCAACAATACGTGTAGTTAAGTAATTCCTCCACAGATTGACGCTCACAGCATTCATAGTAAGATGACATTTTGTTTTTATTTTTTTATTTGACGTTTTATAGGTTTTTAACATAATAAATTTGTGAAGCTCGTTGTCAGTATTATGTAACGAACACTTACTGTCTTTCAAAATATACTATACCATTATGGTGACTGGTTGTTGAGTCACAAAGCGATTGAAAGAGCAAAAACCCTCAGCTTTGACAGCTCGCCAGTCCACTATTTTGAAAGACAATGACTTTCTATTCTAGGGTTATCAAGTACAGCCACCATCTTCAAATTTTCTTCTCTTTCACGCTAAAATGTTTTAGCATCCAAGCATCAGTTTCATCATCCCGAATTTCAGCTCGATAACTAAAGTATGCGAGGTTGCTTTTTGAATAGCACTGCATATTCTGAAATACGTGATTGAACACTAATGCAACGGTTATTTTACCTGGTCGCCCCTGAGTCTATCCAAAAGCGCCACGCAAACTACAGCAGCCCTGATTCCAGCATGGTGGGTCAAAGCAGCAAATGGAATAATTTCCATCTCTATGTTTGTCACATTGTGTTTTTCTTTCAAGTTTTTCAAAAATGCCATCTTGTCAGCCTCCGTGTATTCGCAGAAGGCACCGTCAAGCCTCCCTTGACCTAAAAGTAAACAAATATCGTAATAGATATCAAGAACTAAAGAAATATGATCATCGATAGACCAGCGTTCAGTGGCATGGTGAAAATATAATATTAAATTATTTATTGTATGAATACATAAATACAAGTCGACGGAATGGTCATTATGCTGTATTGTCTGAAGAATACAATTATTTTTAACGACAAAGCTAACTTTAAACTATAACATAATCGCAAATGTGGATCTTAAGTAAATTAATTCGTATAATATGGTTCACATATTCAAGTTCATGGTGAAATATCTTTAAATTGTTAGTTTCTTTGATAGCATCTGGGAGACACGTACATTTTCAGATCATTAGACATTATTGAGTCTTTGACACGTGTAACTTATATTTAATGTTTCAAATTCAGGCTTATTTTTAACAATAAGTATTGCTGTTTCTAAAATCAACAGTATGATGTGACAGTCGTTGTTTTAAGATTTATCGGCATGTAGCTAGCTCTTAATTATATATGTTAAGGCAAAGTAACTACTTAAGGCTGTGCGTTTCCCTACTTTGTGACTAATTGTTAATAAAGGAAATATTTGCGAGTTGGGTAAGACATTTGTCTACATAATTAGTAAAAGCTAGTTCGGAATCAATGGGCAGGAGCAAAAATGTAACGGTGTCCGTTTTGTGTATCAATTCATTATTTGATTGTATAAAAACAAGGTAGCATTTAATGTCACAAATTTTGTCTTATTAACATTGCAAGTTAAGTAATTCTCACACCATTTTTTGACTCTGGTTGTAGATAGATTGATAAATATGCTTTATTGTCTGAAGATTAAAATCATTCTTATTGACAAAGCTAACTGAAAACTAAACTATAACATAATTGCATACGAGTATGTGGATCGGAAGTAGCTGGATTCTAGAACTGACATAGGGTACAATATGATTTAAATATTAAAAAGATTTTAAGGTCACGGACAATGACGACACTCATTATTATCATCAGCAAAAGCTATGAATTTTCCATTTATGTTTAATTTTATTAATATATGTGTATACGAGTACGAAAAATTAATAGTATTGGACTTAATATAACTCGTTTTTCCCCCGAAGGGTAGAAAACGATTATTTCAGGTCTTGCCTAGGCTTGACCCTGGTGAGATTACGTCCCCATTCCCTACCCTAATGTATGCCCCTGTGCCCCTCCCTCTACTCCTATTCTACGTCGGCTAGCCCTTCTGCGCAGTCGCGGCCCAGCGTTTGCCTTCCGTTGTAACGCCACGAATGCCGCGATGCAGGAGGATCCTCAGTACCTCATAATAGTCGTCAAGGACTTATTGGGGTCAAGCCTAGGCAAGACCTGAAATAATCGTTTTCTACCCTTCGGGGGAAAAACGAGTTATATTTCAGGGTCTGTGCCGTCGGCTTGACCCTGGTGAGAAGTGTTTGGTATCTGACGACGTAGAAAAGCGTACTGTGATTCCATAAAAAGAAATATTATCAGGTACTTTGCATCTTAAGAAAGAAGTCTGCGCGTGTGTGTATGCATATGTAAAAGAACACAGCTCTAACACAACTCAAACATTTATTGAACAGCATAAGAATACAAAAAACAAATGAACTAAACCATTATTTAAAATAACAGGTACTCTGCTAAATAGGAACAAATGTTTCCTTACAAATACTATGAAGAGGTCTCTGACAAGACACACGTTTTACTTCCTTAAAGTAGTGTTTGAAAAAGGTCTCTTGACCCTTCCAGTTGCCGTTTTTTAGAATGGTGTCTAACGGAAGCTCACCTTCCCATCTTGACGATGCTACCGCAGCTCTGATACTGCCAGGCGAAGTGAAAATATTTGCCCCAACCAATGCTGTCTTTACCCATCCAGCTATGATAGCTCTTGAAGCAGGCCGTACCTGGGCCCGGCAAGTGATAAAGAGTGAATCCAGGGATTTTGCTGCCCTTCTATGCGCAGAAACAGATAAAAAACGTTTCGTCCAATAAACGGGGTCCAAGCTCGTATCGTCGTTTTGGAGGAGTTTCCACCCCGACTGCCTATAATTACTCTTATCTGTTTTGGATCCAAACTCCGGCCAAAACGTTACACACTTGCTTTCCATTAATAACCTATCAGGATTCATCCTTAATAGAGTCAAGTCATGCACTCTTCGTCCAGAGGCCAATAGCAGGATCAATGCTAACCGTCGAGAGACTTGGAATAAGCTAGCCTCGTCCACTTGATCGGCTTTCATCCAAGATATCAAATCGGACACATCCCACACGAACTTCTTTCCAGGGATAGGTTTACTGATGTCTATTGCCTTTAGTATGTGCTTGACTACAGGATGAGACGTGAGATGACTTCCTAACTGGGGATTGGCCAGCGACGATATCACGGACTTGTGTAACTTCACAGTGGCGGGAGACAGCTTTCTAACACGAAAAAGATACGCCAAATATTGTGCTACCCCTGAGGGCTCTGGATTGGTAGGTGACATCTCCCTACTCTTAGCCCATCTCAGCCATTCAAGCCACGAAGAACGGTATGTCTTCCAAGTGGAACCACGCCAAGAAGTTTCTAACAGCTGAATATCTTCTTCACACCATCCTCGTACGAGTGCAGCCCACCCTGTACCAACCATGCCACCAAACGAAGATCTCGAGCCTGGCTCAATGGCTGCCCGGTCAACGCATCTGTCAAGTGGAGGTTCAGATCAAGACAGCTTTCTAACACGAAAAAGATACGCCAAATATTGTGCTACCCCTGAGGGCTCTGGATTGGTAGGTGACATCTCCCTACTCTTAGCCCATCTCAGCCATTCAAGCCACGAAGAACGGTATGTGTTCCAAGTGGAACCACGCCAAGAAGTTTCTAACAGCTGAATATCTTCTTCACACCATCCTCGTACGAGTGCAGCCCACCCTGTACCAACCATGCCACCAAACGAAGATCTCGAGCCTGGCTCAATGGCTGCCCGGTCAACGCATCTGTCAAGTGGAGGTTCAGATCCGGTAGCTTGAAAGGCGGCTCTATCACCCGAGATATTAGATCCGGTTTCCAAAACACCTTGTCCCAATTGGGGGTGATCAGAATGTATCTTCCCTTCGCTGAGTTCAGGTGATGGAGGACTCGGGGGATTAGTGCTGGAGGCGGAAATACATATGCCAGGGAATAAGTCCACCTCTTGCTGAAGGCGTTTGTCCCGTACGTCCATCGACGCATAAGCTGGTACCACCTTCGACTGTTTTGAAGCAAAGAGGTCGATTTCCGGGGTTCCGAAACGGTGGAAAATCTGATTGGTCAACTCGATAGACAGATGCCAATCGGGAGGGGCCTTGTTGCGAGACAGGCTGTCTGCTACGTCGTTGCATATGCCTGGGATAAAGTGAGCTGTCAGAGTGATATCCAGACGACTGCAAAGGGTCAGCAGCTTTACGGTAACATCCAGTAACATCTTTGACTTTGTACCGCCTTGCTTCCTTATGTATGCTATCACAGTTTTGTTGTCTGACTGTAGAAGAATCGACTTCCCAATCAGTCGACCACTCCGCTGTCGAATGGCAGCATACACAGCGAACATTTCCCTGACATTTATATGCCAATTCTTCTGATAGTGGGACCAGGATCCCTTCAAGGCTTCGTTTTCTAAGACTGCTCCCCAACCTATGTCCGATGCATCCGTTGTTAGGAAAATCGTTGCGTTTTGGTGGAAAATTGGCGACACCTTGTGAAGGTTTTGGATCCACCATTGACAAGCTGATAACACAGCTGGGGGAGCTCGAAGATATTTCCTCGGCGTTGATTCGGATAGGAGAAGGCACGCTCTCTGCATCCCCCGAACGTGAAGCCTGCCTAAGGGGATCGCGAAGCTGGCGAAGTTCAACCTTCCGATGAGACTTGTAGCTTGGCGCCAGTTCCATCGTTGATGAGTTTGAACCCAAGTCAAAGTCTTCTGAATACATTTTTGTTTCTTCTTTGGAAGGGATATTGTGTTTCCTACCGTGTCCCACCTTATGCCTAGATACTCCACTGTTGTACATGGTTCCAACATACATTTCTCTCTGTTTATAATCCATCCCAATGCCTCTAGAAAAAACATTACTTCTGAAACCTGTTTTTTCAGGATGAGTGGGCACTGATGCGCCAACAGAAAATCGTCCAGATATACGATTACACGTATCCCTCTGACTCGCAACCTGCTCGCTAGCCAATTTGACACCTTGGCAAAGGTTGAAGGGGCGCTCGACAGACCAAAAGGCAGGCAGGTCATTTGATATAGCATTCCCTGATGCAACACTGAGAGGAATCTTCGATATCTTTCCTTTATTGGGATGTGGAAATATGCTTGCGCAATGTCGATTTTGACCATGAAGTCCCCTTTTTGTAGGAAGGCTGGGACTTTTAAATGGTTGATTAGGTGAAACTTGTTTGGATGCAGAAATTCGTTCAGAGCTTTTAAGTTGAAAATTGGTCGCTTGGTACCATCTGCTTTTGGAACTGTGAACATCTTTGAAGTGAAGCCCGTCGAGTAGTGGGATCTTTCCAGTACACCCCATTCTAGCATTTGCGCTACCTCTGATTCCATACGAGGTGTTGAAAAACTGTGTCTGGTTGAGAAGTGGAATAATGGAGGTTTTCGGATGAAAGGGATTGAATAACCTCTGATTATTTGAAGAATAGAATTGGGCGCCCCTTCCTTTTGCCACTGGTTTGCATAATACTTTAAGCGACCTGCTCTGAACTGATCTTTGTCAGCGCTTCTTGCAACGAACGGGGGTGGAGTGTGGGTTCGATGATCCTGCTGAAACGGAATAACTGCGTTTTCTGGTTCCTTTCTTATATCGGTTCTTCTCAGCATCTTTCGTGTATGACCTCGGCTGGCTTGATCCTGCCATTGTAGACTGTGGCATCTTTCGCGTGGCCAAATGCGAACGAAAGGAGCTTGCATCTCTGTTTTGAGATTCAAATCTTGGCCTCGAGGCCCGAAAAAACTACCCAAATTGTTTTATCAGGTCGGTAAATGCTTCTTCCTCGAACAGATGAGTCTTCGAGGGCGGAATTGCATCCATAAGCGCCCCTACATGTGTATTGAGCGGCTGCAGTGCCTTTCTTCTCTTTTCAATTACTTCTGCGCGCTTACCGCACACATATTGCACCAAAGCATCTGATGTGACCTTAAAGTCGCCATCAGGATCCCAGAACTCCTCCCGGATATCCTTCCCCAGTTCCGGATACTTTGCCGCTAAGGCCTTTACTGAATGCGAAAAGGCTTCTCGTTGTAAAAGTAAGCCATGCAAAATAGTGCCTAAAGTAGCATCCATAGATGCTAACATATCAGGCGTTCCTTTATTTCTGGAAAGTTGCGGGTTGACTTTTAAGGCGCTAAAAAACAAGCGAGGCCTGCAGTTTCTTCTGTGCATCAACATAACGGATTTTATTGAAAGAAGCCTGCCCTAGCCGCAAGCAGTTCACCCCCTGGGCTTCAATATGTGCGTCCGCTTTAGGGACTAGAGGCTCTTGCTCCTTGGTTACCGGAACAAAACTGAAGTCCAAGTGATCTATGGGACTTTCTAGTATATCCGTCTCGTTTGGTGCACTGAAGCCTAGGTCTAAAGATGGAACAATATTTTCTTGATCATCCAAATCCGATTCCTCATCTGAATACCTAACATCTTGGATAGACGTGCCTTGGTCGGAACGTTGTTCGATCTTCTCCAAAACATTCTGAACTAATATCTTTAGTTCCTCCTGGCTCCTTTCCAATTTATCCATTCGACTCATCTTTCTTGGCCTCGGATCAGAAGCACCCGTTGATGAACTCTCGCCCTCCGAAGAATCTGCTGCCAATCTCCGAGCCGCTTCTTTTCTTGAGATGAACAATGGCCGAAGTGAGTCCAGAGAGCTCATTACTAGCTCGTGATGAACTGCAGATCCCCTTATTCGACACGCCAAGGCTGGAGGACCAATAACCAGACCAACACAAAAAGGCCAATTCAGCATCCGGACCTTCATTTCCCGATATGTTTTCTCCGATAGGTTCTTACAATCCGGGATAAATGCTTGTGCTAGTCCGACCGTTGGAAAGGCAAATCTCAACTTATTGATCAGCTGAGGATCCATTGGATCCTCAAATAGAGATGTTCTTTCTGTAATGGCCACCTTCCAGTTCTTCCAACCATCCGGAAGGTGTTGCGATGCCAGTAGTTTAATACGGTTGAGGATCCGCGAGTCTCCATGATCTTCTGGCGACGGATCCGCTAACTGGCCCAGAGTCATAGTGGACGGTCCTGGAGCTGCCTGCAGACAAGAAACAGCAACCCGTTAGAATCTCTACAGCCAAGGTATTCTGAAGTGATAGCTAATAACTTGATCAGTCGGCCCAAAAATGAGCCGACGGCTCGACGAAACAATCCGACGGCCTGTTAAGTGACCCGACCGCTCAGAATCGGGCCGACGTCTCCGTAATTACAGTCGTCGGGTCCACGAATCCAGCCGACGACTGATTCAAGCTAGTTGAGCCGACGGCTCGAAAGTCGAGGCCGACGGTTACGTATAACGAGCCGAAACTGCTGATATAGCAAGAAGGAACTACAAGGAGGTACATAGCTGCTTGGTGCGAACTACCCTCGGTAATGTAAGTGATTGACCGGGGGTGCAAGTCACTTCACAACAATAAAATTGATGTTTCTGAATCATAAAGGATGTCTGAAGTAATGAACTCAAACAACATGTCGGTCTGCTAGGTAAATAACAAAACAACTTCACATGCCGTTTAGGCATTAATGATTTCGAGTAGAGGGAATGAAATCAAAACAAAGGGGACTTACCATCATACCATAATGCACTGTATTCACTCTCGCGAAGAATATGTACAGAATAGGAGCATACACTAGCGCGGAATAAAGCGTACTGAGGATCCTCCTGCATCGCGGCATTCGTGGCGTTACAACGGAAGGCAAACGCTGGGCCGCGACTGCGCAGAAGGGCTAGCCGACGTAGAATAGGAGTAGAGGGAGGGGCACAGGGGCATACATTAGGGTAGGGAATGGGGACGTAATCTCACCAGGGTCAAGCCGACGGCACAGACCCTGAAATACTGAATAGGCAAACATCAAATTGGAAGATGGTATCATAGCATGAGCCACTCAACTAGGTGATTGGTGCATCTATAGTATTTCTTATTTTCTAATCCTATTGACATAGACAAAAACTCAGGGCCTTTAGAAATTGTGGAATCCTGTATAAAATGGATGGTACGACAGAGCATGAAGGCCGCTGTACTGTACCTTCTACTGCTGAGAAACAATGGAATCGAGTATGTTGATAGCTTGCTAACTTTACAGGCCTCATGTACCAAACGTCAAGTCGCTTATTATTTAAATTTCAGGGATACTAGCAACTCATTTTTCTCGCTTTTTCTCACTTTTTCCGACCCATTTCACTTTTACTCAGTTTTCATTGAAAGCATTCACTTTTCTCAATAAATTAAATGAAGTGGATTTTTTTTTATAAAAATAAACTATGACAAAGTTGTTCATGTACCGAGTTCTCCCCAAGCTGAGCCAAGGTATCATGAGAAATTACTAGGATTAGTCAAAATTTAATTTTAATTCAGCTTTAATAAAAGCAATCTATATACAGGGTATCCCAAAATTGAAGGATAATCCTGCAACTGTCATGGCCTACTAGATGGTAAATTTTGTTTTATTAAAGGTCATAGTTTTCGAGATTTTCAGCATTATTTTTTTTTAAGTTGCTTATATTCAGTTAATGCCGTGCCCTTTCTACAAATATTAACTTTTTTGAACAAGACTTGTTGTAAGACACTCAGAATTAGTCGTTTTAATATTTCACCTTCAGGTGGCGAAAAACTTACATAAAAGTCATGCCAAAGTCTAAATTCTTATTAAAATCCGTCGTTTGTTGATCTACCAAAAATAACCGCTCGAATGCTCTAGGATGTCTCAGTTTTGGAACTCATTTTTAATTATTATTTATTTTATTAATACACAATACAATCTATCTACAGTTACCATTGGTAACAGTTAAAAATCTTAAAAATAAATATTTTATGACTAAGTACTGTGAAATAATTTCATTTATTTCTTTACCAACAGCGATATGTAATAGTAGTTCAGTAAATAGCAAATTAGCCCCACGAAAATTATGTGCCCTATAGTGTCTAGGTTTTGCGAACACGATGAAGCTGACTCGCCTCGACTTGGTTGTCGGTTGTTACCATTTTTATTTATGGATACACTTGGTAGTCCGTCGGGGACCGTCGGAACCGGCTCGTGTCTGATCGCGGACGCCCGAGTGCGTGAGGCGCTGCGACTATTATGTGGGCTTGTTACCATTTTTTGATTTAGTTGCTCACTTCTCACTCGTTAGTAGCCGTTTTGGTTACTGGTTGTAGTGTGCGTGCAATTAAACATGGATGAGTGTCGCTGCGTAATCGATCAACTAGTTGAAAAGTCATTCTCCTTGTATAATTTTTAAGAAAAAAGGAGATCATTGAAAATGGAAGACCAACACCTATTTTAGATAATTTTAAAAAGAAATAAAAAAACGTAGTTTGATATTTTAAATTAAGTTGGTATATGGAAACTGTTGGTTATGTGGTTGCAAAAAAACATATTGCATTGTTGGCGATGTCTTCTGTTTTATACAGAAAAAAATGGGTGGGCCAGCAGCGGAGTCAAAGATTTAAATAGTTTTAGGGCTCTAAAGAGGAGACATGAAATTTCTCTGTTACATGTGAGATGCGTAGCCAGTTTAATTCAGTTTGGCAAAAAAAGAATCGAAAGTTGTCTACCAAGCTTTTAGGCAGCAGACTTCTAGGTACCGTATGTTTTTGACAAAATACGAATTACCGTTCATTTTGAAGTGAATGACTCTGACAATAGAGGAAATTACAGAGAATTGATAACATTCATTGCCAAAAAAGATCAAAAATTGTCCGTACATCTAGAAACGTTGACTGTTTTTTCGGACGGCTTGGATTAGTCATAGCATAAGACGATGAGGTATATCAGTGCTCCAGGAATGTTTACCTTAATTTAAAAATAGTTTAAATAAAATACCTAAAATAAGTAAAAACTTATATTTGGGAGGTTCAAAATAATTTTTTTTAATAAGATTTTTCACATCTGGTTTTGGTAACAGTGTAGAAAAAGTCACGCGTCGCCACTGTGCAAGATTACCCTTAAATTTCGGGACACCTTTAGAGAGGCAGAAAATACGAATTCACCCTGAACCGTTTTCATTTCTCCTGGCATAATTTGAGCTGGGATTTCAATATAAATTGCATTCGCAGTTACAAGCCATATACAAGTACAACTGTTAGCTTGTTGGTTCGTATGTGCGGGACAAATCCTGAAACCTAATTTTGAACCAATTAACCTTAACCAATCGAACTGCAATTTTGTATGCCTGTCTGATTCGTGTGACAATACATAATGAATTAACTGCCGCCATTTTAAATCTAATATGGCGATTCATATGGGCATCAGAAGAAAGCGCTTGAGAGGACCATAATAAGCAAAATGTCATTTCCAATCAAATAAGTCAACCGTCGCAAGATGGCGTCTATAATTTCTAATGTTACCCTTATGATATGGTTATCGACTGAAAGGGCTTGCTGAGAGAGACACAATAAGCAACGTAGCGTCATTATAGATCCAATATGGCGCCCACCGCAAAATATCGATTTATAATTTCTATAACGACCCCCCTATTATGGATATCAAATGAACGGCACTGATGAAAGAAACACAATAAGCAGAAAGACGTTATTCTAATCTAATATGTCGGACGTCTAATATGACAATTGGCAATGTAATATTATTATGACGTAGAGATGATCTGATGATGAAGTCAGGAAGTGGCCACGGTAACCCCTCGAATAAAGCCTCGCTTGATTCTCTAGTCTTACATTCGGATGATTAAGTTAGTCAACTATTGTGTAAAAAGTACTCATCTATAGTAACTATACTAAGTGACATATAAATCCGAACACCCAGTTTAAATGGTTTTATTTTAATAAAAGTTAGTGTAAATAACAAGTGAAAAAATGTTCAGCCTTATCAGTTGGACATTCCGGTTTTTAAACTGCTTTGTTTTAATTCACTAACGCTCTAAAAATGAATATTTCAGCCGCAGTAAAGAATCAACGTTGGCGGATTTTGGTTCTTGACATCCTTTACGATAGGTTACTATGCCTAGAGTACGGAGACCTGTACGATTTCGTCAACTTAGTGAGTTTGATAGGGGCCGTATAGTGGGACTTCGGGAAGCTGGACTTTCTTTTCGGGCAATTGCAGTTAGAGTGCAAAGAAGTGTGGTTAGGTGTTGTCAGGCATGGCTTCGAGAAGGCCGTACGCAAAGAGCAAGGGGCACTGGACGCCGCCGTAGAACAACAGACCGTGAAGATCGCCGCCTAAGATTATTGGCCTTAAGGGACCGTTTCTCCACTACCAGGTCCATTGCAAATGAATGGTTTGCAGAACACGGAAGACCTATTGGCATGCGAAGTGTTTATAGACGAATGAGAAGTTTTGACTTGTTTTCATACCGGCCACACTGGGTCCTCCCTTTAACTCGAGAACACCGACGTAATCGCCTTGAGTGGTGCAGACAACGGTCACTCTGGGATCAGGAATGGAACAGTATTGTCTTTAGTGACGAGTCTCGATTTTGTTTAGGCATGCACGATGGTCGTGCCAGGGTTAGAACGCGATGTGGTGAAAGGAGGAATCCACAGTTTTTTGTTGAAAGACATGTTCATCACACTGTTGGAGTTATGGTTTGGGTTGCTATAGCTTATGGTTCCAGGTCACCTTTAATCTTCATCAGAGGTAACATGAACGCGCAGCGTTATATCCACGAAGTTCTAGAACCCCATCTTTTACCCTATCTTGACACCCTGGCAGATCCAACTTTCCAACAAGATAATGCCCGACCACATGTTGCAAGAGTCACAATAGACTTCTTTCAACATAATGATGTCACATTGTTACCATGGCCACCAAGATCTCCCGACTTATCCCCAATTGAGCACGTGTGGGATATGATGGGTAGGAGATTGCTCAATTTGCAACGTCCTCCTCAGACTCTAGAAGCACTTCGAGAGGAGTTGGTGGTTGCCTGGCATGAGATACCACAGGAGGACATTGACCACCTGATCAGAAGCATGCCTAGGCGCGTTGGAGAATGCGTAGCACATCAGGGTGCATCCACACAATATTAACGGTCAAAGGGCTTTAAAGCAGTGCAATCAGTTTGAAATTTTTATCATTTACTTATTATGCTCCATTAAGTACTTATACAAAATTTTATTAAAATAAAACCATTTAAACTGGGTGTTCGGATTTATATGTCACTTAGTATATATTAAATTTCAACATTTTAACATTAGTTCGCTAAACTGTACAAGAATTTGTTATATTTTTTATGTTTCTTTTATGCATCGTTTGCATTAATTTGATTTTCAAATGTGCTTACATATGAATGAATATTTTTGCTTACGTAAATAAAGACTAACAAAAACCTTATCATATATAATTCTCCTTTTTGCCATACATTCATATTTATATTATCCGTTTAAATTTGGCGTTATGATATTCAATTTCTCAGAAAATTAACTCACTATTATCAAAACCTGTTTATTAAAAATAGCGTTTTGAAGACCGTTTCAGTTAATGGAAGTCTTAGAACATCGGGAACCTATAGTACACATCTAAGCTAAAGAAATAATATTAAATTTATTACGTTTCATCTATAACACCAACTAGGGTGTCTTTGCTGTTTCGATCGGGAATAGAAATCATATACACAAAGACATACTGCGAAAACAGGGGCGTACAATGGGTAATGCAACCTCTTCTAATTTGGTACCTCAATGAGTATTGTATTTATTGACATACCTTCATAAAAGTCTGAGGTACACATCGTTGTACCTGTGACAGTATCATACGGATCGTCAGAATGAGCTAAGGCCTGCAGTTCTCTGACTAGCTTTTTATCCAACCTTGCTGGGCGTTTTACTAATTTACCCAATGTTGCCTGTAAAAAAATTGTATTACATATGAATAGCTTTTCACTTCTCCTTTCAAATCGTTCACGCTGTTCCATCTTTACTAGGAATCGTTAGTATAATATAGGGCTTGGGAAAACGGACGAAAGCCTTCAGCCTTTAACATAAGGTGCTAGTAAAAGCAGATAAAGGTGAGCTCAAGCGGAAGAAGGACACCAGAAAACTATACAGGATGTTTCAAATTCGACCCACACCATTGAAATTCTGGAAACTGTAAGAAGTCGCTTAACTGGGGCAAAGTTGGGTTTGTCCGAACAGAAATGGAAACAATCGAATTTTTCAAGATCGTTTTAATTTTTTCCTGACTTAATTTGTATTTTGATTGTAAAACAAATTGCACATTAAGATTGACACTTTTTCTCTCTACAAGATAGCAAAATTAGAACTTCAATATGACGTTTCATCTCTTGTCATCTAGCATGATCTTTATTTCTTATGGACGCCATATTGTTTTTTTGTACATATGAATTCTTATTTCAAAAATATATAATACGTCATTCATTGACATTGCCAAACCGTAGTTACTTCAAAAAAGCAGAATTTCCTAGATAGGCCATTAAATTGTCAGATAGTCATTTGTTCGGCATACCACATTCATCCCAAACATTTTTTTTTAATTTTTCTCCCGACCTTATTTGAGATGAAATTTTAAAATAAATTGCATGTTGTCACTGTCACTTATTCTCCACTACAAGATGGCGCAGTCAAATTTTGAATTCGATATATCTTCTTTCGACTTTGTTTATTCATATGGACGCTATATTTATTTATTTATTCATTTATTCCCAACAGGTATCACCCAATTACAGAAAGAATACAAGAAAAAGTTACATAATTAGCAACAGCGGTAACGCAAACAAAAAAAAACTTAAAAAAAGAAAAACAAACTCTCACTGATAAAGGTACCAGTCTCAGTAGCACTTCATAACAAAGTTCTCACTATCAAAAAATAAGTCACAGGAACTGCAAACAGAAGTGAAACATGTACAAATCATATTTACCGGAGATCTGGACATTAAATTAGTATTACCAATAACCGGATAGAAAGTGATTTGAACACGATTTCCCAGCCTAGGCACACGAAAATTAAGCTTACCTACTACGAATGAAAAATCAACTTGATTGTGTATGGTTTTGTACAAAAGATGTAGCGCTGATATGTCGCGTCTAAGATGCAATGACCCTGTATCAAAAATGTTTAATAAAATAGAACGGTCGAAAGCTCTTTCGGGATAATTGCCATAACATTTGCAATACAAATACTTCACGCTGTACATATTCAATACTAACCCTTGAATTGTTGTAGATTGGAGACAAAATTGATGAAGCGTATTCCAGGTTACCTCTAATAAATGTAAAATATAAAAGCTTTAGAGTTGATATGTTTGAAAACCCTGACCAATTCCTTACAAAAAAGCCTAGAATCTTAAATGCGGAATTCACCATTTGAGTGATGTGATCCTTGAATGTCAGTTTGATATCGAATACAACACCCAAATCTTTGAACGTTTCTGTTCGTTCGAGTAAGTGATCATTGATACTATAATCATAATGTATTACATTTTGCTTCCTACTAAAAGACAGAACTTTACACTTTGATACATTAATCGTAAGAGAGTTTCTGGGACACCTAGAATGCAAAAAGTTCAAGCTGTTTTGAAGAGAGATACAGTCATGATAGCTCTGAGCAGTATAAATTTTTAAGTCATCAGCATAAAGTAAATGCATACCAGGCAATTGCAGCGACAGATCATTGATAAACAACAAAAAACAAAGGACCCAAATCGGATCCTTGGGACACTCCAGATGTTGCTGTATAAGAATTAGATTTAAAACCACCAAACTCAACTTACAGATTTCAATCAAATTTTGTAGATTTAAATGGACTTTTGAGTCCTAAATTCAGTGATGTATTTCCTTGTTGGCTCTGAATTGGTTGTTGGATGAAAATTATAGGGAATTTTATTCATAATAATAACAATAAATAAGTGATGTGAATCATAGCAGATCAAAATATTGTCCGTTATGTTGTAGGCAAAGTCTAGATTGTCCACTGCTCGATTCATTTCTTTTCTTCTCAGTCTTCCAAAGTTTTGGTAATATCAATGTGTGACATGTTATACCTTTTTAAAATTAGAATTAACAACTTTATTCATCTGTGTAAAAATCGAATAAGGCGTCCATAAGAAAAAATAAAGTTGATGCTGGAGGATGAAACATATCGAAATTCTAATTATTTTACCATGTAGAGGAGAAAAAGTGGCAAAAGTGAAATCCCACTACAAATAAAGTCAGGAAAAAATTTCGAAACTTTCTAAGCGGCATTTTGCTGATTACCTAAATACGCAACTTTGCCCCCAATTAAGCGAGTTCGTATCTCTTACAGTTTCCGAGATCCAAAGGGTGAGAGTCGAACTTGAAACATCCTGTAGCGTTAAAGGAGGAAATATTGGTGAAAATTATACTTACTACGGCATAGTTGTTATCCTGCATCCCATCTAAGGCATTATCAGATATAACAACAGTTCCACCTTCTATACCGATTCCTCCGCATGTTCCAATCCTGAAGAAGATGGGGTCTTTGCATTTGGCGTGGTACATGAGTTTGATGATCTCGTGAAGTAAAATGGAGATTGACGAAGGACCCATACCATGCTGGAAATAAGGATTCGATGTTAGCTAGCATCTTATACATGGTTAGTTCTGTTGTCATTTAGCTGCTTCCTTTTACACGTGCCAATCGCAACATTTTTCACACTTGAGCCACCTATGATAGTGCCACTGCTGTACCCTTTTTACGGTAGACCTACTAAATGGTGGACAGTGCAACATAGAAAATTTTACCCAAATTCAAATCTCGATATTTTCGGAGCGAAATATCGAGCTGCGATATTCGGGAGGTTCTTGATTAACTCTTTGAGAACACGTTTAGGGTTCGAACGGTATATTTCTTTTATTTATGCACTTATACAGGGTAAGCAAAGGAAAGCAAATGTTCTAATTGCCTTAACCACAATACATTATATAAAAAGATTTTGTCGTTGGATCATTCCATTAACTTTCCTCGTTGTCCTGTGTTTCGGGCATATGTCGAAAACCTTCAACAGCTTGTGAACTATGAATGACACTTTAAAGATTTGCCATTTGAATGTGCGATCTCTCACAGCTTCTTTTGAAGAGTTTTCCTGGATGGTGCAATGCAAATTTGATATAATAGCTGTTACCGAGACTTGGCTATCTGCAAATATACCCGATGATTGTGCGAATATGAATGGCTATAATTTTTTCCGTAAGGATAGGCTACTAGGGTGGGGCGGAGGAGTTGGTCTTTATTTTAAACAAGTATCAATTTTAGACCAGTTGAAGTGAACCTCTTGGGTAATTGCATGCTTGAGGTACTGTGTTGTAAGTGCAAATTTGGTTCCTCTAGTTATTTATTTATTGTGGCTTACAGATCTCCTCATTGTCCAGTTAATGAATGCATTAGTCAAATTGATAATTTTATCTCTTTTTTCTTGCCACAATTTGATAATACAGGGTGGCCCATAAGTCCTTTGAGCTGGAAAAAAAGGAATAAAACCAAACTAGTTACATTATGAAGAATTATTATATTTTGTTATCACCTTTATTGAATGGGAATTATGTTTTAAAAATCACATCGTCTAAATGCAATCCATTACGATCACGGCACTCATATAAACTACGTCTAAAATTGTCGATGACTGCGCGGCAAGTCAACACTGTAATGCTTGCCATTTCTCTTCGGATATTTTCTTTCAGGACATCAACTGATCGCGGAGTGGTGTCGTACACTTTACTCTTGAGGTAGCCCCATAAAAAAAAGTCCATTGGGGTCAAATCTGGACTACGTGGTGGCCAGGAAATGTCTCCTCTTCGAGAAATTACTTTGCTGGGAAAAAGTTGACAGACGACGGGCATAGAAGTGTTGGAGGTGTGGGCAGTTGCTCCGTCCTGTTGAAACCAGGTCTGCGTATTATAGCCTGGAAAATTCTGCAACGCTGGTGTCAAAAACTCTTCTATCATTGCTACATACCGCTCCGAAGTAACTGTTAATGCGCGACCTCTGTCGTCCTCAAAAAAATAAGGGCCTACGCTGCCATGCGCTGACATAGCAGCCCAAACTGTAACTTTAGGACTGTGTAAGGGGTTCTGATGCTTACGCCTTGGATTTTCGGGGCTCCAATAACGGCAATTTTGTTTATTTACATGCCCGTTTAAATGGAAGTGAGCCTCGTCCGAGAACAACACATTATTGAGCGAAGAAAATCGATTCAACATTTCATTCGCAAAGTTTAGTCTCTGAATAGCGTCATTATCTTTTAATTCCTGCACTAACTGAATATTGTAAGCGTGCAGACGTAAATCTTTCCTTAAAATCCGCTGTAAGATGTTCTGGGTACGTTTAGTGCACTGGAACGCTTACGAGTAGACTGGGTAGGATTTTGACGAACAGACTGTGCCACAATGTTGATGTTTTCTTCAATACGAGTTGTCCTTGGTCGACCCCACCGCTGTTTATCTAACGTCGAACCAGTCTCTTCGAACTTAGCAACCCAGTTCTTAATCGTTTGAGCTGTTGGACACTTTGTAAAATTGTGTAAATTGTGGTATTCTCGATATTTACGCCGCGCAATGGTTGCCGAATCATTATTTTGATAAAACGCGCGCACACAAAAAGCACAATCCGCTCCAGTGAAACACTCCATGGCGACTGAATTCCCAGACACTGAAGATACTGCCCCCACCTCGCCCGCGCCGCTCACGCTCACCCGTTAAATCTTATTCAAATTTGAAATTTCAAAGGACTTATGGACCACCCTGTATAATCATCTTGGATGACATGAATGTAGATTTGGTGGATCCCAGCAATGCTCTCAACGGTTGTTTTGATTTCTATAAATAGCGTTTTGAATTCTGGTACAATGAATGCTGACTTCATTTCTGATCATAGATTAGTTTTTTGCGAGTTAAATGTAGGAATCAAACACGCCGAAGATAAATTTGTGACTTACAGGGATTACAAAAATATGCATATTGCCCAGTTCGGACAGCGCGCGTCACAAAGAAATCTGCCCCTTGGCTAACATTTAAAAGCCTCTCATGAGCCTGAAAGCCATTTTCAATGAATGGGATAAAGCTTTAGCTACATTTTACCAGAATCCTTCCGATTGTAATTTTATAATTTATAAAGATATGAGGAATTTCGCACTTGCCTCTCTTAGACGCGAAAAAAAGGCCTATTTGACACGGTTTGATCAATTGAATTCGAAGAAAGCCTGGGATCAACTTAAGATGATGAACGTTTGTACTCAGAAACATACTGAGCTTCAATTAAATTTATTAGAACCAAAAGAAGTTAATGACCACTTTTTATTAACTTTTCAAAATACCCATACCCATTACCGTTTAACCTTCCAGTACTCGCGCGGGGTATCCAAATACCCCAATAGTAATATCTCTATCTATACTGCTGTGGGGAAAATGACGATCGGCATATAGTTTCCTCTATTCCTCGAGTGTAGTATACGCAGGCTGGTGTTAAGAGTTGGCTGCAGTCGAGATCACGTGGTGCGTTGGCTACGAGTCGAAATTTGATTGGGGTATTTAGATACCCCTCGCGAGCATCGGAGTAACAAGGAAGTAAGGGTATTTTTGTTTGTTTTTTGAGGTTTTTTGCAATTTATTGGTGTTATTGCAGGTAAAAATATGGCAAATTTATCAAGTAGAGACCCACAGCAATGGCTGAAATGGTATAATGAAATGCTTGACAGTGACGACGAAGAAGTTTAGGGTGAAGATGATCCATCGGAGCAGGAAACAGATAACTTGGAAGTACAAGGTGAATGTTCAGATACGGAGCAAGAGTCTGAAGATGGAGCTGATATTTCGAATATAACTGAAGAAGATTCTGTAAAAAACGGTGGTCCATATTTTTTGGGAAAGGATAAAGAAACTAAATGGAGTAAAAACAAACCACCAACGTCAAGAACAAAGGCTCATAATCTTATATAGAAAGTTCCAGGGCCAGTAGACAACGCAAAAAACGCCAAATCCTCGATGGACTGTCTTAGCCAATTTATTGATGATTCAATGATTCAAATCGTTGTGAAATGTACAAAGATGCAAGCAAATTTCGATAGAGAACGTGATGCTAGATTGACTGACGTATGTGAGATACGATCTTTTATAGGAATACTTTATTTGGCGGGATCTTTGAAATCTGGGAGGCAGAATATTCGGACATTATGGAACACAAATGGCAATGGAATTGAAAACATATATATAACAATGAGTTATAGATGCTTCAGATTCCTGTGTAGAAGTATCAGATTTGATGATGTAAATACTAGGGAAGATCGACGTATGTATGACAAACTGGCAGCGATTAGGGACATTTTTCAGCGATTTGTGAACAATTGCCAGTCTTCAGTGATACCAAGCGCTTTTCTAACCATCGATGAACAACTGGTAGCCTTTCGAGGAAGATGCGTCTTCAGGCAATATATACCTAATAAGCCCAGCAAATATGGAATCAAAATATGTGCATTGGTTGATGTCAAAGCCATATATACATACAGGTTAGAAATATATGCAGGTAAACAACCGAACAGGCCGTATGGTTTGAGTAACAGTCCTGGAGATGTCGTAAAAAGGTTAGTTGAACCTCTAAAAGGTACAGGTCGTAACATTACAATGGATAATTGGTTTTTCAGTGTACCTCTTGCTAGGGACTTATTGAAAGATAAATTTACTATGGTTGGTACGCTCAGGAAGAATAAAAGAGAGATTCCATTAGAATTCAGACAGACTGCTTCTAGACCAGAACAGATTAGTATGTTTGCCTTTCAATCAGATCTTACCTTGCTGTCTTACGTTCCAAAAAAAGGCAAAAATGTATTGCTGATTTCATCAATGCACCACGATGACGAGGTTGATAGGGAATGCTTGAAACCTGAAATAATCCTGGAATACAACAGAACTAAATCTGGAGTGGATGTCGTAGACAAACTTTGTGCCCAGTATGACGTGGCTAGAAATAGCCGACGTTGGCCTCTGACAGTTTTCTTTGACATTCTAAATATTGCTGGTATCAACGCACTTTGTCTATTTGCTATGAACAATAATTTTGAAAAACCAAACAGAGAATATTTCCTGCAAGAGTTAGCTGCAGAGTTAGTACGGCCACAAATAATGAAAAGAATATATATGGATAATATCCCAAGAAATATAAAGAAAAGGGCTATCGTTTTACTGAACATTGAGGAAACTACTCTAGCAACAGACAAGGCTACTACAAAGAAACAAAAACTTGGAAAGGGTAGGTGTTATTTATGTCCCAGATCAGCTGATAGAAAAACGCCAATTACATGCGGCGTAAAACGTGTCGAGTGGATATGTAAAATTCATCAAAATTTCGTATGCCGTAATTGCCTTGATAGCAGAGAAATAGAAACCAATTGTGACAGCGAATAGATGCTTTTGCCATATTATACCTTCAGAGACCTGATTTGTTAGTTAGGATTTTATATAAATATTATGTTAGCATTTCTTTGGTAAGTGAATATTTTTTGTTCTGTTATAAAAGCATTTAGAAAAATTGTGTGAATATATTTTTCAAAGAAAAGCTCCAACTATTGTTTTATTTAAATTAAAAAAACACAAAAACAGGTTGGGGTACCTCAGTACCCCACGCGAGTACCTACGAGATTTTTCCCGCGCGAGTACTGAAAGGTTAATTGATGCTACAGCTGAATTTTATCAACAGAATTTATTCGATGCTAATTTAGCGCTATCTGTGTTCAGACCTGTAAGTGTTCAGGAGATCCTAGATATTTCTGTATCTATAAAGTCGACTGCAACAGCCTGTGATTGTATTGGTGTGGACATGTTTGGTCCTTGTTTACCTGAAGTACTTCAGTATCTAACTCATATTGTTTGGAAACTGGGAGCTTTCCAAATGTCTGGAAAGAAGCAATTATTCTTCCTCTAGCCAAAGTAAAAAGTCCCACAACTCTTGATCATTTACGACCCGTCAGCATACTGTGTTTCTTTTCAAAGGTATTAGAAAAAGCTGTTTATCTCCAGCTAATTGAATATTTAGAGATGAGTAATTTACTTCCTGTCCATCAGTCTGAATTTCGTACTGGACACAGTACAACTTCTTCACTTCTCCATTTCACAGACAATATCTTAAATAATATGGATAAACATATTAATACAGTTTTAGTTATGGTCGACTTCTCTAAGGCGTTCGACACTGTTAACCATAACATTTTGTTGAGTAAGTTAACGTATATTGGACTATCTGACTTAAATTTTTTGAATATTACTTAAGTAATCGTAAACAAAAGGTAAAGGCAGTTAGAGGTGTCTCATCTTCTGTTGCCGTTTCTTCAGGTGTCTCTCAGGACTCTGTCTTAGATCCTTTACTGTATTTGATATATACTTTTGATTTACATTCATGTATTGAGCATTGTGCTATAGAAACTTACGCGGATGATACGCAGCTTTCTTTTCATTTTGACTTGTCTCATCTGGATGAAGTGTCATATAAGATAAATTGTGATCTTGCGAACATCACTGATTTTTGTAAAAGACACATGTTGAAGATTAATCTGGATAAGAGCACTTGCATACATTTTTATCTTAACATTTGCATAATAGAGTAAGGGACAGAATTGCATTGAGCATCAATAACGAGCTCATTCCTATTGTGGAACAAGCAAAAAATCGTGGTATCATCTTCGACTCTAGTTTAAGATTTGACAAGCATGTGTGTCATCTATCGAAGTCCACTTATATCAAATTAAGACTGCTATACGCTAATATATTCATTGTAAACTTTAAAATGCGTAAGAAGCTAGTTGAAAGTTTGATAATGTCCAGCCTCAACTACGCTTTAACCTTATACTATCCTTGTCTTGACTTGACGAATCGGCGTAGGATCCAAAGAATGCAAAACAACTGCTGTAGGTTTGTGTATGGTCTTCGAAAATATAGTCATGTCTCCTCTAAGATCAAGGAGTTAAAATGGCTGAAAATGGATCGACAATTTGAATATAGTCTTAAGGTATAAATATAAAAAGCCCATCTACCTCCATAGTAAATTGGTAACTAGAGGATTCATTAATCTTAATGATCTGAGGCATAATAATAATCTGACAATTCCTTTGCACTACACCGCGTTGTTTCAACAATGTTTCACTTTTAATGCTGTGAGGTTATACAACTCAATCGACCCTGCCTGGAGAAGCAAAAGTGGAGTAACATTCAAGAAGCTGGTTAAGAATCAGCTGTTAGATGTATCATAATTAGTTGTTATTATCTTTATGTTTTTTTTGTGTAGTCATCCGTTCAGTATTGGTTCTTAACTGGTTCCTTTTTGGTAAACCAATATAGCGCGGATTTATCAATTTATTGATTGAAATTTTTTCCCTTTATTATTAGCTCACTTAGTTGAAAGCCAGATCGATGTATTTATTCTATTGTTGTGTTGCTAATAAAGACATGTATTAGTATTATTATTGTTTTTTAGCAAAGTTTGGGGATATGTCAGATTCTCAATGTTTGATACTGGAAATTTTTATATGCATCTTTTTGGTCATTGGACTATCCTAAAAAAAGTAAAACTCAATTTTTTCGTAAGTTAGCTAAAACTCAAATTATCGAGTTCTGTCATTAAAGTCTTAAAAAACTACGAGTGTTTGCAGATAATTGTGGTGTAAGACGATTTCAAGACTTCTTACATAAGTTTCAATGAGCGGCACAAGCCTAGTCAAGGAATATGTTTCCACCGGTAATTATTATTATTTTGATACATTGATAGGCGTTGGTAGACAAATGAGCCAAAAGAATTTACTAAAACTACGCAATTTTGCCGACAAGCAACGCAATATAAACCTGCTAATCTATTAGAATTTGCTGGTACTGGCCAAAGAAGGTCACTGGACACTGTCTGTTGCTGCGCTGTTAAAAAACCTATTACAATATGGGGATGAATCCTGTCCACTAAGAGTAGTTCAACTGCCGCTTTTAGGTAAACAGAATTCAGAATAAATTCTTCCAAGGATTTTTTACACATGAATTTACATGCGAGTGACAAATACGAATGACATGGACTAAGCTCCTCTAAGTTGATAATTATTACCCTAGTTCTTTAAATGTCAAAACTTACACTAACGGAAAGTACAGGACCGACTTTGTACAAGCAGTACCTGTAAGAGTACTGACTTATGTCCATCAGCTTTGTGCCGGTAGGTATTTTGTATCCTATTTCTTGCATTATGTAGTGTGCGAAGTCTTCCATACGTTTCGGCGTTCCTCCCATGCATACGAACTGAAAAAAAAAGAAAGTAATTATGTTTTTACAAATTTGAGTATGAATCTTTAACACTACCTCATCAAAAGAGATATTTTGCTAAGCCGTACTTGTATCAAAAGCGTTATGTTGTATACACGTATTTACATGATACGTAAAGACTATCTATCTAACGAAGACTGAAAGTTTATTGGAATTTTTTGTAATATAAAAGTTCATTCCAAGCAAATGTTTACCTTGGCATATCAGGTTTAAAGTTATGAGCTCATTTTTCTTAATGATATCAAAGTGAACAGACAGTGTCTATTATGCATATTTAGCGTACATTGAAGTGATACAGGGTGCGCCATTTTTTTATGTCGTATGTAAACATGAAATAACTTTGAAAACGAAAAACTGATTTCTATATATCGAGTATTTTTATATGGTCCTTTACAATTTATTGGGACTAGTTTTTGAACACAACATCTATCAAGTGGCCACCTTTATTGGCCAAAACAAAATGTGCCCATTTTGCTGCGTTTTCCATTACTTTTCCGATCATCTTTGGTGGTATAGCGGCGTTTGCGGTACGTATGTTTGCCTTGAGTTCTTCAGTGGTCTGGGGCTTGCTGGCGCACACTTGTTTTTTGAAATAACCCCACAGAAAAAGTCCGCTGGGGTCAAATCTGGAGACCTGGGTGGCCAGTCAATGTCACCTCTGATATCAGACGTCCAGGGAATTTTCGTTGCAGACATTGGATTGTTTCATTTGCTGTGTGGCATGGCGCACCGTATCGTTGAAACCAGTAACCATCAAGACCTTTTTCAAGCATTTGTGGGCAGACATAACGAGCCAACATCCACCGATATCGATTTCCATCGACTGTTTCGTTTTCGTTGAAGAAAAATGGCCCAATGATGGTTTTGGCGCAAACGCCGGCCCAAACAGTCACTTTCCGGTCATGCAACGGCATTTCGTGGGCAGTTTCGCTTATTAACGCTGCCAGAGGGCGTGAAATGGGCCTCATCGGTCATTACAATTTGCTTCCAAAAAGCAGGTTCAGCATTAACCATGCGAGCGACTGTTCGGGCGTATTCCAAGCGACGTGGACGCTCAGTTGTTAATACTTTTTGTGTTAACTGCACCTTATAAGGATGCAAATGCAAATTATCCTTCAAAATGCGCCGCAACGTGGTTCTACTGATGCCAAAATGCTGAGCGCGGTGACGATACGACTTTTGGGTTCTGGGCAACGCTGTCTCTGACCGCCTCAACCAATTCATTGCAACTTGGTCGTTGATGAACGGTATGTTGACGATCTCCCACTGTCCCGTACGCATTTTAACACTATGGTATAGGATTCGGCACCAGCCTTAATTTTATTGGTCAATTTCAATTTATTTAACCAATAACAAGCTGGGTGTCGAAATCACTACCGGAATGTTAAACAGTGCTGAAAACAGTGTCAGAATGTTATCAATAAACTGCTTCTACTAATATATATAAATATAACTTGAGACGTGGTCATTGTCGTCTAGACCAGTTAGGTGAAAAATTAAAGCTTCCGCCTGTTGTTGGGTACTTCGACAAAATTTAAGCAAGGAGGACTCTTTATACTTTTTTATTATCTCTAGCTTTCAATGGTCTTTGCCATCATCATCAGGAGAGTAGTTAGTATGTGAGGATGTTGCTAATTGTTGTTTACGTTAAGGATGAGGGAAGCACCCAGTAACATGCCCACCATTTTGTGCAATCATCAAGTGGCTTCACGATGTAATGTTTAACTTTCAATTTCTAAACATTTTTTTTATCTGTTTTTAACTTGTTCTTGTCATACAGCTGTGTGTATTTTATATAATTTTGATCATTGCACCATTTATCCAGCTTTCACCATGTTACTGGGTGTTTCCCTCATCCTTAACGTAAACAACAATTGGCAACATCCTCACATACTACTCTCCTGATGATGATGACAAAGACCATTGAAATCTAGAGAGAATAAAAAAGTATAAAGAGTCCTCCTTGCTTAAATGTTGTCGAAGTACCCAACAAAAGGCGGAAGCTTTAATTTTTCACCTATATAAATATATATAAATTTTTCATGTAATTTTTCTTATTGCTAAACCAAATTATTAATTTTAAAATCATTAAATATCGTAATAGGAAACAACGTGCGTTGATTATTATCTCACGTATTTTTAGCGGAATGTAAGAAAATTTAAATTTAATTTGATAACATTCTGACCCCATGCTCAGCACTGTTTAACATTCGGGTAGTGATTTCGGCACCCGGCTTGTTATTGGTTGAATAAATTGAAATTGACCAATAAAATTAAGGCTGGTGCCGAATCCTATACCATAGTGTTAAAATGCGTCCCGTACTCAAGAAAATTCGGAACCAAACGACGGATAGTGGTGTCAGACGGTGCCTGTTTGCCATTTACGACGATATGCACGTTGCGTTAACACAACTGAACGACGATTTCCAATGTACATTGTGAGTATTTCGGCGCGTTGTTTCGGTGTAAAGCGATTCATGACTAAAATTGTAGTAAAATGACATTTCAGAAACACGTATACCAAATCACTCGGTTGGTAAATATCAAAGTCATTCGATGTTTCAATACCGACATAAAAATTGGCGCACCCGTTATAACCTTTAGTCAACTAACGGCAATTTTTTGCATTATCTAAATTACCTGAATTGTGATGTAACAGTTATTAAGGTTTAATGATTTGTAATTGTCATAACAACGTTCCATTTACTAATAATTACTGTCGACTAACGCATTTCCAACAGTGTATAACTGTTTCATGCTTATTGGCAATCATCAGCACTATCTAGGCTAGCTCTCTAGGTAAGCGGACGTACAATATATATTACCAGAGATTGAACAGCAGCTATAATAGCTGTAATAGATGTTAGCTGACATATTTCGATAAACGATTTGTTTTTTGATACAACAAAGATCAATTTGACGCCGAAAATGAGTTAAAGCCTTATTTAAAATAGGTGCTATTAACTCCAAAATATTCATAATTGCAAAAGATATATTTGTTTGTGGTGTTTGCAAGAATGTTCAGTACTAAATGAGACATTTTCACGTAAATCCAAAATATCTCTAAAGAATATGTAATTGTGTACCTTGACATCGCCGAACATCTCCACTAAGTCATGAGATTCACTACCCAAGGCTAAGTGATACAAAATGTCTTGATCCATGAGTTCAATATTTGGATTTCTGAGTTTGACGCTCCCATCTGGATATCTGTAACAATAAAGAAAAAATATAAATCCTTTTGTAGATCACAAAGAATGCTCTACAGTAGTGGTTCAAAACTTTCTTTCTTCAAAAATGTTGGCGGTTTCGGTGGACCTTGTTAGAATCCTACCATATTGCATTGCAAAAGCTCGCCAAGAAGTGTGAAGATATATCTAACGATTCAAATTTTCACAGTGGTACGAGTAAAGAGAAAAATATTTTCTTAAATCATGTTTATTAAAATAACTTCATTACAAATTTAATAGGAATAAAAATAAAACATTGATGACGTAAAACGTAACTTCTCCCGCAATACAAATCAGATGTGCAAAAAAAGTATAATAAATGAGATTGACGGTAAATTACACAGGTCTGCAACCAAAAACTGATTGGATGATTTCAACTGATTCTTATGAAGTCTGATGTGCTGAAGACCAAACTGATATCAGAAAATGTCTTGCACGTCGGAATTTTCCACAAAATGTGAAATCATTTTCCATTGACAGACAGATTTTAGTATTTTCATCACATGCCCCGACACCGCATGTATCTCTGGCCGAATAATGACAACACGTGGTTAGTTACGATCAGCTGTTTTGTGGATGTCACGCTTTTGATTTAACCTCTCCAACTCTCGCATTTATTTACCTTGTCAGCCTTGTATTGGTACTTACTATTCGTCATTATTCGTCAGAGCGGTCCGGTGGACCTTTGCTCTTAGTTAAAAGTCTCGTCGGTCTGTTAGTATGTCTGGTCAGGCTACCCAGATACCATACATGTTTAAGGGGAAAAGGAAAAGAAGGAAAGAAAGGAAGGAAGAAATAGAGCAAAGAAAAGAAGTAAATCATTTGAAATAGCTTAAGCATTATTGCTTTCACTACTCGAATTATTTTGTAGCTCCAAAAACTAATTTTGACCGGTTTTGTATACTGAAATAATTTTGGCTGGTACGAATTTAAAATTTAATTTTGGTCACAGTGCGAGGTGCGGCCCGGATAGTTTGCGAACTTGCTCGATTGTGTAGTCTACTGAATCACGCAAAAGAGGGTTGCTATGCCCTTCGGATTGATTATAACGCCGCTGCGCCTGTTGTTTTACATAATCCCTTAGATATGGGATATCAAGATCTCTGTGAATGGTCTCATTTGACACGTACCAAAGGGCGTTAGTACGTAATTGTGCGTAGGGTTGTTTTGCAGGACTTGCAGTCTCTCCATGTGCGTCTTGGCAAGAAAACACCAAGCCGCGCATGCGTAGGTGATTGCGGGTCTTATAACCATTTTATACAACCGAATCTTGTTGATCAAACCTAATTTTGAATTTCTGCACAACAAAGGATAAAGCTGCCGAAAGGTAATTTGGAATTTTATTTTCAAAATATCAGTATGTTTTTAGTACAATAGATTGCCTGAGTTTTTTAAGTATTAATTTTGATCAACCACCGATCCGCCCACTCCAATACTTCCTTCACCGCAGTCTGCAGCCTGTCGTGAACCAGGTTACCAGAACACGATTGGGCTAGCAGTGCAGTGTCGTCAGCATAGAGATAGACTTCACAGTTGCTGGGGCAAGGGACGTCATGTATATAAAGTGAATAAAGGATTATTAGTAAGACCGAACCCTGAGGAACACCGGCTCTTACGGGCCGTGTTGTTGACAAAACATTGTTAATTTTGATTCGAAACTTTCTTCCTTCTAGAAAAGATTTCAACAGTTAAGTAGCCACAATGGAAAACCTTTTTGGATGAGCTTATACAAGGAGTCCATGTGCCACACCTTGTCAAATGCCTTTGATACATCTAAAAGCAACCTTCTCTTGGTATAGCGACTATCTGGAATTATTAGGATTTTGGTTATATAATTTCGTAAAATGGCCTCGCGAAAGTGTGATTCTCTTTCTTTCGTCTGTGGCGAATATACACATCTGAAGCAACAACTCAATATATCAGACTTTGTAAAGCAATTGTATTTTGCATATTTTGGAATCAAGACAAAGCCTGGACCCCTCATGAAGTTTGCAAAACATGTGTGGGGGACCTTCGTTTCAGGTTTGAGGGTAAAAAGAAAAGTTTTCGCTTTGGGGTACGTATGATATGGCGAGAACAAAGGAACCATAATGATGACTGCATGTGATGTCAAAGGGATCAACCCAAAATCAAAGCATTCCATATCATACCCAAAACTCCCCTCAGTTATTAGTCTTCTTCTTCGTGATACAGAAAAACCTGATCCAAAGCCCCCTGCTACGTTGGGAGAGATGCCAGACTCAGATGAATGGGAAGTACAACCTCAAGACGATCAGAGTTCAAGTTTTTTACTTTGAAGATGACACTACACCAACATTGTTCTCCCAGGAAGAGATAAATGATTTGGTGCGAGATCTGGAACTTCTCAAAGATGCTGCTGAGTTGCTTGGATCAGGACTCTTCTTCTTCTTTCTACTTTATTAATAGGCTCATGCCTGTTTTACTTCGGTTTTTAGCCTCAATTGATGTTGTCTGACCATCTTTTCCTCGGTCGTCCCATTGATCTTCTTCCTTTTGGCGAGTTGTCTCTTGCTATTCGTACTGTTCTATTTTCTGTCATCTTTCTATGTGTTGATTCCATTCTATTTTTCTTCTTTTGGTCCATAGGTTATTTCCTCTATACCACATGTCGCTCGTATTTCCTCACTTCTTACTCTGTCTCTTAGAGTTTGGTTTGTTATTTGTCGTAAGACTTTCATTTCTGCTGTTTCCAATAATCTTTGTGTTTTCGCCGTACCTGCTCTTGTTTCCGCTGTATACGTGATTATCGGTCTTATTGTTGCTTTATATATCCTAGTTTTCGTTTCCGTTGTGAGATATTTGTTTCTCCAGATTGTATTGGTGAAACATCCTGCTGCCATGTTCACTTGTTTTTGTACTTCTTTTTCCACTTTTCCATAGCTTGACAGTTTGATTCCCAAATATTCCGTGTCCATCACTAGTTCTATTATTTTGTTATTTACGACCAGTTTACATCGTATCGGTTCCGCTGATATCACTATCGATTTAGTTTTCTCTGTCGAAATCACCAGGTTGCATAGTACCGAATATTCGAATTCTTTAATTAATCTCTGTAGGCCATCTTCATTTTCGACTATTATTATGGCGTTGTCGGCGTAGCATATTATCTGCATTTCCTTTTCTCCCATTCTATATCCTCTTCTTTTTTTTTAACTTTCTTTATGATTTCATCCATTATCAGATTAAATATTAGTGGGCTCAGCGAATCTCCTTGCCTAATGCCAGTTTCATACTTGATAGGTTGCGAGAGTTTTCCTTTACAGGATTCAACGATAAGAATTTATTACTACCTGGAGTGCATTTTTCTTGGTCCAGATATCGTGAAAAGAGTTTTCTCCCTTACTTCACCGAAGAAGAAAATCTAGTTTATTGTTATGATACAGAAGGTTTGATGGTTCAATTCAGAATCCAGTGTGAATCGAAACAATGGCAGCTTAAAATCAGTTTTACTTCATAACGGTGGTTTCTATGCCATACCCGTTGGACATCCTGTGTTCTTGAAAGAGACCTATGAGAACTTGGAAGTGATTTTTCAAAAACTCAAATATGAAGTTGATGGTTGGCAAATGTGTGGTGATTTGAAGATCTTGTACATGCTGCTGGGTCAACAAACCGGTTACACCAAATTTCCTTTTTTTAGACCTATGGGACAGTAGAGACCTGGTCGGTAGAGAGTTGGGAGCCAAGGACGCTTACGGTTGGTCGACACAATGTTCTGCGATAAAACTTAGTACCACCAGAAAAAATCCCCTTCATATAAAACTAGGCAATCTCTCCCAAAAAAACTGAGAATACTTCAGACAACCGATTAAAAAGATTCTAGGACTTTCGGAGGCGAAATTAAACCAAGGTGTATTTGTTGGGCCAGAAATCAGAATGCTCCTAGCGGATCAAGAGTTTGTCGACACCATGACCTCTAGAGTGGAGGACGGCTCGCATTTAAGGATGCTGTAGTGAAATTTTTGTCAACAATAAAGATCCTGATTATAAAAATATAGTCAAAAGGATGCTAAAATCTTCTAAAGAATTGGGTTGTCTCATAAGCCTGAAAGTACATTTTCTTAAATCCCACCCTGGACTATTTTCCTGGGAATTTAGGGGCTGTGAGTGAAGAGCAAGGGGAACGTTTCCATCAAGACATCAAGGAGATTGAAAAAAGATATCAAGGAAATTGTAGCACCACAGAGGGACATACCACATTCTATACCTAAGGGGAAATGTTCCAAACGCAGCCTCACAGTAAAGAAGCAACGATTTTAAATCAGTTCACCAGCTCGTCTGTATTAAAAAAATAAACTATTAAAATGATAAACATGACTTCACATATTTTTATATGCATTATTTATATCATTTACGAGTACTGCCTTGCAAAAATTTGAATTCATTTTTAGATTCAGTATACCGTATAAATCTGTTAAAATTACCAAAACAGCATTTAAAAAATATTTTTGTAGAGCTGTGTTATCAATAATTGGGTTCAGTTTTGTGAGGAATAAGCACAAAGCTCCACGGTCTGCAATATTCAATCTGCTCCTTTTTATGCTAATAGATATGTAACAACACTATCTCTCAACATTTATACAGATTCACAAGTCGTAACCAAAAATGAAACATCATAAACAGGACCGCATTTTAAGGGGCTTTTCTATGTAACATTTTTTCCTCGAGAGTTTCATTAAAAACATACGGGGTGTTGAAGTTTAAAAATAACAAAAAAATAATATCTTCAAAACCGGCAACTGGAATGAACTAAAATTTGGTATCTATGTGGATTTACCTAAGTATTGTCCACATTGAAAAATCTTGTCTTAAAATTAACGTGCACTAGTGGCGGAGATACAGGAGATTAGTGGCATTATTTTTCCAAATTAAAATAGTAGAATTGCCAAACTTCCCGGAGTGAGGCCATGATGTCCGGCATATTGTTCAAGTGATTAATTTGTCGTTGGATGATCCTAG